CCTTCTCTGCTGCGCCAGAGTGGCATGGACCTGGAGTCCCCCTGCACACCCCTCTGTTTGCCTTTTGGGGAGGGCCCGTCTGGTGAGCTGGGGGCAGTAGTGTGGGTGGCTCACCTTTGTGCCTCCAGGCCGAGGCTCGTGCTGGACCCCTGATACACATGCTGGGCAGGTTTGCTGAGTTCTGGAATCCTTCACCTGGGCCCTTGGCCTGAGGACAGCCGTGTCTCCTGGGCTTATTTTGGTGGTGGTGTGAGTGTGTAATCTTAGTACAACACCATAAATAAATAACTCCTTGGCACTTCTTTGCCAGCTGACTCTTCCCTCCCTTCTTATTCCTCAGGGTCTGTGCTGTCCCATGAGCAGGTGGCTAGTTGAACATTGACAATGTCCCATTTGAGATGTGCTGTAAAAAATGTAAAAATATGCTAGATTTCGAAGGCTTGGTATGGAAAAAAAGAAACCGTCATTCATACTGTTCTGTGTTGATTACATTCTGAAATGATAATTTGGGTGTGCCAGATTAAGGTATTTAATTTCACCTGTTTCTTTTTGTTAATTGGAACAAAATTCACAGGACCTATAAGCATTACCACTTTAGCCATTTTAAAGTGTATCATTTGGTAGGTTTGGTACGTTCATGTTATGGTGCAGCCACCAGCACCGTCTCATCCAGAACATTTTCATCGCCCCTGAGAGAAATCCCACATGCATTAACCAGACAGTCCCCAGGTCTCCTTACCCCAGACCCCAGCTCCCACTAATGTACTTGGGGGCTCTCCAGATTTCCCTGCTCTGGGCATTTCCTCTCTGTGGATCCTACATTTTGTGGCTTTTGTGTCTGGCTGCGTTTGTGTGTGTGTGTCTGGCTTCTTGCACTCAACCTAGTGTTTTCAGGCCTCACGGCACGTGTCAAAACTTCATTCTTTTTTACAGCTGCATAATACTCCACGCCGTGGCTATACCACATTTTGTCTATCGGGTTCCTCGATAGATGTTTGAGGTGTTTCCACCTTTTGGCTGCTATGAATAATTCTGCTGTGAACGTCTGGGGACACATGTCGTACAGACACGTACTTGTGATTCTCTTGGGTATACCTAAGAAGAGGAGGGCTGGGTCGTGTGACAGCCGTTCAACTTCTTGGGAAACTGCCGAGCCTCTTTCTACAGCGACTGTGCCATCTCCCATTCTCCTCAGCCGTGTTTGAGGGTTCCGGTGTCTCTGCACTTTCTCCCATATTTGTCCATATTTATTTTCCTTTTTGCTGTTTATTCATTTTTAGCTTGAAGCCGTGCCAGTGTGTGTGACACGGTGCCCTCTCATCGGGGCGCGTGTTGCAGTGGCGACTGGCGACGGTGAGCGTCTCTCTGGTGCTGACTGGCCATTTGTGTATCATCTTTGGGGAAATGTTTGTTCTGATCCTCTACCCAGTCTGTTTCTCTCCACTCTAATATGACTACTAGAAATTGTTAAGGGTCTGCCCGGGACTGACACTACCTTTCCCTTGGGTAGCGCTGCTCTGGGAGACTTTGAAATCGGTGAGGGGGATGGGAAGACTAATGAGTAGTTCGTACTCTGCCTTCATTGTCCGCGTCCTCACGGCCACCGGGACTGCTCTGTCTCCGAGGTCTCTCCCCGACACACTCACAGGAGTGTCCTTACACAGGGCTTCTCCAGGCCCCGCGGGGGACGGGGCTTAGTCTGACGGGCCTCCAAGTCAGGCTTACCTGAGGGGGCTCTTCCTTCAAAGCAGGTTATTTCAGTGAGCGAACCACGCAGAGCAGGGCCGTGGGCCTTTTGTCCTCTGTCATGTGGTCTGCGCCGCACCTCCAGTGAGCTTTCCGAAAGGTCAGATTTTGAGAAGTTAGTCATTTACATCTCCTGGCGCTTTTAGAGCGGTCGGATTTATTGTCAAATTACTGTATTGAAAATTTACTACAGCATGTTGAGCTGCTTTATCCAGGAGTCTGATACGGAAGTTGTTTGATCACATATACACGTGTCTCAGAATAGAACGGTGGTAGTAGATGTGTCCGTGGGTGGCTCATCCCGAGGTCTTCGAGCTCAGTTTCAGTTACGTGCTGGTGGCAGTGACTGCCGCTGGGTGTCCCCGGGGGCCGTCCACACGCGGGGCCGTCCACTTCTCCCAGAGTCGCTCTGCACCAAAATGAGGAAAAACAGCTGGGTTGTTTAGAGTAGAATATAGAATTCATTTAAAAATAATACTGTTTAATGCAGATTTTTTTAATTGAATCTCCAAAAAGCTAGAAGCATCTTCATTATTCCCTGAAAATGATTTAATAAGATTTTCAATAAATATAAAACTCCATATAGGGATCCCTGGGTGGCGCAGCGGTTTGGCGCCTGCCTTTGGCCCAGGGCGCGATCCTGGAGACCCGGGATCGAATCCCACGTCGGGTTCCCGGTGCATGGAGCCTGCTTCTTCCTCTGCCTATGTCTCTGCCTCTCTCTCTCTCCCTCTCTGTGACTATCATAAATAAATAAAAAAAAAATTTAAAAAAAAATAAAAATAATACTGTTTAATGCAGATTTTTTTAATTGAATCTCCAAAAAGCTAGAAGCATCTTCATTATTCCCTGAAAATGATTTAATAAGATTTTCAATAAATATAAAACTCCATATAGGGATCCCTGGGTGGCGCAGCGGTTTGGCGCCTGCCTTTGGCCCAGGGCGCGATCCTGGAGACCCGGGATCGAATCCCACATCAGGCTCCCGGTGCATGGAGCCTGCTTCTCCCTCTTGCCTGTGTCTCTGCGCCTCTCTCTCTCTCTCTCTCTCTGTGACTATCATAAGTAAATAAAAATTTATTTTTTATTATTTTTTTTTTAAAACTCCATATAAAATATCCTGATGGCGTTCCGGGATCCTTTTCTCATTGACTTGGGTGCAATCTGTACTTCTGCATGCATAAATAAATAGATGGGGGAAGATAACTAAAATATCTTTAGAAGAAAGGAGTTACATGGGAGACAGACATTTCCTTGGATACTTCCTCGACCCTCAGATAGTTGCAGACTCCGGAGTGGATTTCTTGGAGTGGGGCCAAGGGGAACAAGTGGAGAAGGAATAGTGGGAATATCCTGGGGTGCCTGGGGACTCAGTTGGCTGAGCATCCAACTCCTGGTCACAGTTCAGGTCATGACCTCAGGATCGTGAGATTGAGCCCCGTATCAGGCTCTATGCTGGACATGAAGCCTGCTTGAGTTTCTTTCCCTCTACCCACTCCCCCACCCCTGCTCATGTGCAATTTCTCTTAAAAGAATACATGAGTGGAAGTGGAACCAGGCAGTAATTCTACTGGCCTCGCTCAGTGCACTCAAGGTACATCCGTGTTGTAACAGCACGTCGCCGTCACTTGTTTTAAAGGCCGCGTGAGGGCAACCCCCGGTGGCTCAGCGGTTTAGCGCCGCCTTCCACCCAGGGTGTGATCCTGGAGACCCAGGATCGAGTCCTACGTCGGGCTCCCTGTGTGGAGCCTGCTTCTCTCTCTGCCTGTGTCTCTGCCTCTCTCTCTCTTTCTCTCTCTCTCATGAATAAATAAATAAAATTTAAAAAAAAAAAAAAAAGGCCGCGTGATGTTCTGTTGAGGGGCGCTGCCACGGCTTCCATCCCGGGCACCTGTTGAGGATGGGTTGCTCCTAGCGCCCAGCTGTCCTGAGCACAGGTGCAGATCTCTCTCCAAGATTCTACTCCGGGTCTTTTTGGCTCTAGATGGAACAGTGGGCATCCTGCCGTCCCTGAGCGGTGCTGGTAGCATCCGCGCCGCGCGGGGGCCCCGTCACTTAGGCTTCCCTTCTGTCCTCCACCCCCTAGGCCATCGACTAACACTCCCCTTGGTAATCTGTCCCTGAGACCCGTCACTGTGATTTACTTCCTCTTGTGCCAGGAAATGTTCCATGTCCTCAGATCTCCCAAAATAAACATGGTTTGTTTGGCCAGGTTGCGTTTCTGGGAGCACGCCCCTGTACTCCAGAAAACTCTGTCTGAGCCAAAGAGAAAGGAAGGTCTGGGCAGAGGCCTGGGAGGAAGTGAGAGGCACGGACACGGGCGGTGGCGCGGTTGTCACTACCCATCGTTAAGTGGGAACTGGGCAGAAGCGTGTCTCCGAGTTGCAGGCAGCGTGTCCAGGGTGTGGTGTTTGCAGGCTTTGTTGGTTGTTACACAGTAGGAAGTGTTCATGGCTCGGTGTGTGAACAAAGCAGCGCCTGCCTGTGTGAGGCGCTCAGATGTTTGGTATTCTAGTCACCTCTTCGTCGGATGTTTGCTTTTGGCACAGGGTCCAGCCCCCTAGCCTGGGCGCCTGCTGGGGGCTCAGAGCCCAATCTACCCGGATCAGACCTGCTGGGCTCAGGTTCAGGCTTTGTCTGTTTGCTGTGGAGAAAGCCTCATGGCCTTGAGTCTTTTCACCAGTCTGTGCCTCAGTTTCCTGTCCTGTAAAATGGGCTCATGTGCTGCCCACCTCTTAGAACCCGGTGTGAGGAGGGAACCGACTGCAGAGGCCTGAGGGTCACCTGGCCGGTGTGGGCATTTGTCACGTACACTGCACACCTCCTTTCCTTACTTTTCCCTTAGTTTTCACTGTTCTCCTGAGTCCTGTGTTGTCTCTTCCTCCTCCTCTGTTTTTGGTCTCCCCTGCTTGGTGTCACATCATGTGAACCCCTCCCCTGCCCCCCTGGGAAAATCCCCAGTTGCTGCTGCAGCTTTCGTGGAAGAAAGCACATCCTGGGGCCCAAACAGAGGCAGGATCCACTTAGCCCTTGCGGGTTACAGGCTGTCATTGGGAAAGCAAAGCTCTGACCCCGTGAGCTCCTTTCCGGCTGCTGCAGCATCTGCAACCCGTCCTTTCCCTGCCACAGCCGCTGAGGCGAGGGGGGGATGGGGAGGGGTGTTACTCCCTTTCCCCAGTTGGAACATCTTATCAAGACTCTTCGAAGTTGTTAGGTTGCCAGCATGTTTCATTTTGTGTTTATCTTCCTTGCAGGCAGTTTTAGTGAATAATATCACCACAGGTGAGAGGCTCATCAGAACCCTGCAAGGTGAGTTCTCATCCCCTCCTTGACAGCAGATGTTAGGCCTTTTAGGAAAGGGTCACCTTTCCTCTTGTCCTCTCTAGGGGTTCTTGTTCTAATCTAGTGATGAGTAGGATCCTGAGTTACTGAGTAATCTTTACTGTATTCGTTTTGCCAAACTACAATTCCTTAAAGAGCTTTTTCCTTTTAAAAATGTTGCTGAAGACATTGTAAGGTACAGAATTCAGGTTCTCTTGTTTTCATAGGCTAAGAAGTATACAGAACAAATCACCTTATATATAGAACTGTAAGATATATGTGATATATATGGGATTTTTTTAATTGAGTCACCCTGAATTTAGGTTTCCTTTATGAAAATTGTAAAAACTATCCAGCCCCAATCTAATTCCATTCTTTGCTGCCCTGCTTCAGTTGGCAGCCATAGCTGGGTTTCCATCGGGCCTTGCAAAGCAGCAGTGGTCCAGAGGGCAGGACCGGGTCGGGGGCAGGGGTCAGCAGGCCCTGTGCTGCTCAGGGCCTGTGGGAAGGAGTGCTGCATCCCATGAGGCCGGGAGGAAACTTGCACTGGCTCCGGAGCCTCCCTCCTGCCTCTGGGACAGGAAGGTCTGTCTACATCCGCACTGTCCAGAGTGGTGGCCACGAGCCGTGTGACCAGTGAACACTTGAAATGTGGCTATTGGGATGAAACTGGGTTTTAAATTTTTATGTCATTTTCAGTGATTTAAGATTGAGACTCCACTCTGTTATTGGTAGTGTTAAGTATCTACAACTTGAGTATATCCATCTAGTTTTTAACCGTACATTTGATGAAACCTAAATTCAGATAAAGAATTTCTAGTGCAGACTTAACATCTGGATTGAGATGTGCTCTGATTGTACGCACCAGATTTCAAAGACAGAGTAGGAAAGAGAGAGTATAAAATATCTAATTCATAATTCTTTATGTTCATTATGTGTTGGCCTGATAATATCGTATAGCTGTTGGGCTAAATCAGATGTATTATTAAAATTAATAATACACCTGGTTTCGTTCTTGGAAATGTAGTTGCTAGAAAAATTACCTACGTGGCTTGCATTGTCTTTGGACGGTGCTGGTCTAGATTCTCATTCTAAATCTGGCTCTAAGAATATGAGTAGGGGGATTTAGGGTCCTACAGAGTTAGGTGGGTCACTATTGCTGAGGCTCTGCAGAGCTCCCCTTTCCTTTGTGGCCTTGTGAGACTCATCTACATTGTGTCTACATTGTGAGTGTCAGTACTTCATCCCTTCTATTACCAACTGTATTCCAGACCCATACTTGGTTTGATTTTGGCGCTTTTTTTTTCTTTTAAAGATTTTATTTATTTATTTGAGAGCGAGTATGTGAGCTAGAGAGAAAGCATAAGCGGGGCAGGAGGGAGAGGGATGAGGGATAAGCAGGCCCCCCCTACCCCCCTCTGAGCAGGGAGCCTGATGCGGGGCTCCATCCCAGGACCCTGGGATCATGACCTGAGCTGAAGGCAAACACTTAACCCACTGAGCCACCCAGGCACCCTGGGACTTTAAGTGAGGTTTATTGAGGTGTAAGTTACACCTAACAAAGTGTGCCCTTTGTAGAGTGCTGTGTGTTTCAGCAAATGCACAGTCCCCTAGATGCCCACGTCATGACCAGACCCTGTCCCTCTAGGAAGTACCCGCCCCCAGCCTTTTGTCGCAGGTCCCCTGCCTTAGCCTCCAGCACCCACTGAGTGGTTCTGCATCCCTGCAGTTTTAACTCTGAGTATATTCTAGAAATGCGTGTGAGATGGAGCCGTGTTGCTGTGTGTTTTGGCATTTCATTGAGTCCTTCATTTTTATTTCATTTTATTTTCCCCCCAAGAGCCCTGTTAGGCTTAGAGTTAGGAGGGCAGACCTTGGGGTGCATGTTGAGAGCTGTGTCCCGGGCCCTGGTTGTGGCCTTCTGGCCCCTCTGCTGTCACCTCTTGGCAGCTTTTCTTTCCACCCAGCCTGACCCTGTGTCAGCAGCTGCTTTTTTCTGCAAGGCTTTTAGGAGCTCAGAGGTCAGGGCAGCAGGACTGGGCTGATGAATCTCCTCCAGGGAAAACTGCTGTTTCCCAGCCTGGGGAACGGGGGTTATATAAGTGAGCACATCTGGGAATGCCTGGCATGGGTGGATGGGTGGTAGGAGGCAGCTGGCAGGTAGCCTGGTGGCCAGGGGTCTGCATGAGTGGCTGCTGACCTGAGCAGGTGTGGAAATTGGTGTTTCACAAGCTGAAGGATAAGTCTGCTGAGGACCAGGGGACATGGTGGCTTGTGTGTCACCTTGTGGAACAGCTCGGGGTTCAGGATGTGTAAGAAACAGGTAATCAGAACCTTCTAATGCATTTTAAGGGTCAGAGGTCAAAAACGTGATTTAAGTGAGAGGTTTGGAGAAGAGTCAGGATGCATATTCTGGTCAGATTGCTGATTTCCAGGGCTTCCCCTGCCCCAATTGTAGAATATTCTCATCCTTCTCTCCTTCCCTCCTTACTCGCCGGTGTGCCATTGCCCACTGTGTTCTGATGTGTCTGCTGTTGTCATGATGGCTGTGCCCGCGACTTGCGTGATTCTGGGTCCTCCTCTTGGCTCAGACCAGTTAAAGGCCCTGCAGAAGAATTACGGCAGGCTGCAGCAGGATGTGCTCCAGTTCCAGAGGAACCAGACCAACCTGGAGCGGAAGTTCTCCTACGACCTGTAAGTGTGTCTTGGCCACCAGTGCACACCCCTCAGGGGCTGCTGTGTTCCAAGCCGTGGGAGCAGGCTGGTGGGGATGCGCTGTGCCCACCCCTCCCATCCTGGCACGTACAGGCTCTGCAGGAGGTGCAGTCTATCTAGGGGATGTGTCCTTTAGAAAAGTACACTTTATCATGTAAGTGTGAGCAGTGCCTCAGAAAGCCATGGAAAAGGACTAGCCAGTGGCTCATAATCCAGAATACACACAGGAGGGTGGTGCTCCTCCCAGTAAATGACTTATCAACATCCTTTGTAAAGTCACCTTAAGTTTTAAAGTGCAGGTGTGCTGGTTAAGTCAGTAATCAAAAGCCTTTCCTGAAATGTCTCCTTGAAGTGTACAGACCTGCCCCAAGTCCAGCTCCTGGACTGAAGGGCATTTTGGCATCATATCAGTGATTTATCTCTAGATGTTGGCACGTGGACACTGTTTCTTTGAGGCTTTTAGTGTCTTTTCAAATTTCTACACTGAGAATGGAGTGCTTTTATTTTTCAGCTTTATTGAAGCGTGATTGGTAAATCATTATATATGTTTAAGGTATAAAACACTAAGTTCTGATATGCATCTCTATTGTGGGATGACATCCCTGATCAAGCTAATTAACCATAATCTTTTTGCATGTGTGGTGAGAACACCTACAATCTCCCCTTCCAGCTCAGTCCCACATACAGAACGTTATTAATAATTGAAGTCACCACGCCATTTGCTCCATCCTCAGCTAACAGTATGATTGTGTTCTTAGCGGATGACCCTACACATTTACTTTTGGAAATATTTTTATGACCAAAACAATAAACTCAAAAAGTTAGGTAAATGCTATAGTAAGATAGTAAAAACCAACTTTTTTTTTTTTTTGAAGATTTTATCTACCTATTCGTGAGAGACAGAGAGAGAGAGAGGTAGAGTTACAGGCAGAGGGAGAAGCAGGCTCCATGAAAGAAGCCCAATGCGGACTCTGTCCCGGGTCTCCAGGATCACACCCTGGGCTGAAGGTGGCACTAAACCTCTGCGCCACCGGGGCTGCCTGTAAAAACCAATTTAGAGAGTGGTGTAACTTGGGCACAGGGAGTCTGGGATTCAGAGGCAACCAGCCATCTATGAGCCCAGTCTTCCTTTCCATCTGCTGACTTCTTCCTCATCCGTGTCCAGGGTCGTACGAATTTTTCACTTAATTGCCATCACCAGTAACATTTTTAAATCATTTTCCCCTACTTCCGTTAGCTGCGTAAAAGTCCATACTGTTCCAGAATGTTGTATCGTTAAAAATGACTGGTTAATACTATGGAGGCACCACATTTAATTCATGATTTCCCTCTTTGGATATTGAGGTTACTTCTAAGTTTCGATTATTATAATTAGGCTGCTGTTAATGTGTATGACTTTATGATTACTTTGGATTATTTCCTTCTATAAAGGACTTAGCTGTAGGTTTAGTGTCATAAATCACCATGTTGCCTTCTACCTAAGTTTCCTCACCCTGCTGCCCTCCTTGGGATTCTGACGTCCTTCCGGAAAATTGTCTCTCTGTGACATCTTCCTAAACACTTTAAAAACAAATGCTACTAAAATCAGGAAGCCCCAAAGACATAAATATGCAGAGCACATGAACTAACAGTATGAGGGAAACGTAATTAGAAAGTATGTATATGGAAGTATGTATGTGTATGAAAGTATGTATATTCAGCTCGGCCAGTGGTTCTCAATTTTGGGTGGTGATTTTGCTCCCAGGAGACCTTGGCTGCTGCTACCATCCTCCAGCGAGCAGGGCAGGCCCCATAATACAGCTGTATCTGCTCAAAGGCCAGTTGTGTTCAGTCGAGAACCCTTGAGCTAGGCTAGTAACCAGCGAGATGCATTCAGACAAAAATGAAGACTGCCTCAGTCTCATTATCATTCTCCTTAGAAGATACCTTCACACTCATTTTCTTCCTATTCATTGAAATAGGATAAGCCATTAAGGCCTCACTCGATAATGTTGCCCCAGAGATGATGACCTAGCTGGAAGTCAACAGTCGGCCAGGCCCAGTGATGGGAGGGCTGCTCTGCTCTCCATGTTGGAGTGGACAGTGAACAGGATGGCCAGCTGTGCTGGACTCACTCTTCTCTTAGGAAGTTGATGGCTAGATTGAAACAACTTCTGGCTGACATCTGTACTGAAGTAATCCTGCCCAAAGTCTTGCATGTTTCCTGGGGATGAGGTTCATGAGATGTTGGAAGCTGGAAAGAGCTATTCTTACTTGGATTATAGACCCTTTTTGAGAATCTGACAAAAGATATGGACCCCTTGTTAGCAATATCTGCAGAATTGTGCATTCACATTGTGGGGAAAAGCATCTAAGGCATGTCCACACGTCCTCTGTTGAAGCACCCTGGCAGTCTGAACCTTTTATAGAAGGCAGCGCTGGGAGTGAAAGAGCTGACGGCAAGGCTAGGTTTCCTGATGCACAAGTTGGTGTTCGTTCTTCCTTATCAGCATCCTCACTTCTCACTCCGGCACCTGTGGCAGACAGCACTAAGCCACCACTCTAGCCCTGCCTTGCAGGCTTTCTCCAAAGCACTTAGGATTAGTTTCTCATGTGAACTGCTTGTCATCTCATCTCCATGCCATGAGAAATAGTTTGCAAAAGCTATTCCTGGAATAGAACACTCCTCTGATGATTAGCATCCTGGATGATTGGGTCACCCGCCTTCATAGATCCCTGTATGCATACATTCCATTTATAGTATGCCAGCCATCAGTTGCACCAATTAGAATAACTCTGGCGCCTGTGTCCTGTGAGTGTCTATGCTTGAACTGAATGGTTACCATGTGCATGTAAACAGAAGCCCACCTGTGGCTCTTCAAGAAATCACACTGTCACTGTCCACATGACCTGTGTCCTAGAATTTGAGCTTCATTTTGAGGTGATTTCCTTACTGCTGTGGAGCTGGAATGTGGAAAGCTGTCCTTCACCCACAAGCCTGGGAAAGAGAGTCTCTTTGTACTTGATTTTGGCAGGGCTGAGCGCAGGTGAAAAGAGTATACCTTACCTATTCGTAGGTTTGTGCAGGGTCAGGAATGGCTGTGCACCTGCCCATTTGCTAGTCCCGAGCTTCTGCAATATTGTCTGCTCACAGTGGGCATGTCTGGTACTGTCAGGATATCCGCGTCTCTCATTTTCTCCTGTGGTTTAAGCTACTGTGTACATGTCTACCCCCTGCGACTTGCATGTTCTTGACAATTTTATTTAAATTAATTTTTTTTGGTAAGTCTTCTCTTGATCTGAAAGCTGTCCAGGGTCTGGAAGTCTGTCTGTTACTCTTTCTACAGTACCTGATGCCCTTCTCTGGGTGTGGTTCATTGAGACCCACTGAGTCCTTTGAACTGGAGGGCACATTATAGGAGTTACGGGCAGCAGGCACTCAGACCTGGTTCTGAAGGGCCTGTGACTCTGGGGAGGCAGCTGTGCTGCGGAGAGAGCCCCGTGCAAGGCCAGGAAACCCCAAGTCTGGCTTCCGGTTTCAGCCTGTCTCTCTCTAACCCGGGTCAGTGTTACACATACAGATCACCTCCAGCTTCATTATTTGCACAAGTGAGTGATTCTCCCAATTATTTTACAACCCTGACACACAAGATTTTAAGACTTTAAAATAAATTCTAGGCTGAAAGCTACGATGATGTCCCAGAATATCTTCGCTAAATGGGGGCCCAGGCCTGATTAGATTCTGTGCTCCAGCAAAGGTTCTCTTAGACCAGCTGGGAGTCCTCCAGTTCATTTTTATTTTATTTTTTTTAAATAAATCTTAAATTTTGGAAGAGTTTTAGGTTTACAAGAGTTCCTGTATACACGTTGATGTGTATTTACCTCACAGGTAATTCACTGATGTAGATACATCATTATTAGCTAAGGTTCATGTTTTATCCATGTTTCCTCAGTTTTCCCTTAATGTCCTTTTTCTCTGCCAGGATCCCACATTACACCTGTTCATCACGTTTTCTTAGAGTCCTCTTGGTTAAGACAGTTTCTCAGGCTTATTTTTTATGATCTTGATAGTTTCAAGGAGTATTGGTCAGGTGTTCTGTAGAATGGTTTCCAGTTGGGATTTATTGGGTGTTTTTTTCATGATTAAACTGGGGCAACACATTTCTGGGAGGAAGGCCACAGAGGTAAAGTGCAACTCTCATTACTTTGTGCCAAGGGTACATACTCTCTGAATGACTGGGCGCTGTGGGTGTTAATCGTGATCGCCTTACTGAGGTAGGGTTTGTCCGGTTTTGTCACCATGAAGTTACTCCTACTTTGTCATTTGTCCTCCGTGCTGCAGTCTTAGGGAGGAAGTCCGTGTGTACAGCCTGCACCGAGAGACTGGGGAGTTGTGCTCCGATCCTGTAAGGACAGAGTATCTGTATACACTGCTTGGAATTTCCCTGCACAGGAGAGCTGGGTCTTTGTACCTGTTTATATCAGTAGGGATTTAGGAATATTTATTTTATGCTTTGGGTTATAATCCAGTACTATTTAATTTTTTTTGCTCCCATTGTTCCAGCTTCTGTCCTATCCCCAGCTTTGTGCCCCCGCCCCCTTTTGAGCACTTTGTTATACATTCTGGCACTGGAAGATGCTCCAGGCTCTTCTGCATGTGCTCTTCCAATCCTAGGATCACCCAACCAACCATTTCTCTAAGGAGCCCTTTTTTAGATCTGGGTACTAGGTGTGTTTGTTGCTGCTGGGGTGTGGTGGTTTCTAGGTCTCGTCAGCTACAGAGGAAAGAGCCCTGTGTGTGCTAACCCGTGTGATATACAGACATCGATGACTATTTCTGTGTATTTTCAGCTGTATTCGTACTAAACCAAGTGTAAGTTCATACTGGTGTCTCCAGTTCTAGTCGAAGTTAACATAACAGCATGTACTTGCAGATGTTCTCAACTTGGGACAGTAGCAACTATTGATATTTTGTGGCTCAAAATATCTTTGAAACTGCTTGTGGCAAAGACTGGCCATTGCTTATCCAGATCCATCATTTTCTCCCCCCGTGTAATTCCTGCCTTTCCAACCCCTCCTAGCAGTTAATTATGGCCCAGTGACCAAGTTCTGGCCAGTGGGGAAAGGAAGTGGTAGTGCAGGACTGTAGGAAGGCTTCTGAAAGTGAAGACTGTTCACTGTACCCACTCTCCTTTACCTTTCCTCCTTGTTCTTTCCTGCTGCCTGGACTCACATAAGATGGCTGGTCCACTGTAGCCATCTTGGATCATGAAGCTGGAAACCAGTGCTAGGATCATGAAACAGAAAGAAAACCTGTATCCCTGATGATTCGGAGCTGCTGCTGGATTGCCTACATCAGACGTTGATTTGTGGAAGAAGCAGATCGTTATCATTTGACCTTTGTTTTACCCAGCCAAACCTTATGCTAACTTACCACTTTTTGAAAGTGCCTTCAGCTACTACTTCTTAAACAGTCATTTTCATGAATCTTTTATTACCCAAAAAAAGACTTCTTAGGGAAGGTCATTCAGAATGGAATCCTAAAGAGTGGGAGGTAGAGAAGGGAGACTAGCACTTGTGCTGGAAAAGAAAGAGAACTCGGGGAGCTCAGAGTGGTCTGGGCGAGGCAGACTATACTGAGGTCATGGAGGTGAGCGAACAAGAGCTGTATCTTGGGCATGGTTGTGAAGGTGATTGGTTATGTTGGCCCCACTGGGAACATCATCCTCTCCTTCCCAGATTCTGATGACCTGGATGTTAGATCTCTATCACAGTCATGCAGAATCCCCCAAGTGGGTTTGTTTTCTTTTTTTCCCCCAGTCTGTTTTCTCTCTGTTATTTTGATTGGGTAATGTTTGTGGTTCTGTTTTCTGGTTCAGAGTCTCGCCTCCCTTCTCTATTTGCACTCATTCCTTAAGTTCTTTAATTTTGGTTATTGCATTTGTCAGTTTGAAAATTTACCCGTGGTTCTTCTTTATGTTTTGTTTCTTTGCTGAGACATTTGTTTTTTCATTTGTTTCAAGTGTGTTTGAATTGCTCACTGAAACATTTTTATGGTGGCTATTTTGAAATGTTTTACCTTCTCTGTCATGTCGGTGTTGGAATTTACTGATGGTTTCTTTCCACTCAGTTTGAGATCTTCCCAGTGCTTGAGGTGACAGGTGATTTTCAGTTGAAACCTCTGGTTGGTGGTACAGGCTTATCTTCCTGTCAGGTGGGGGTGGAAACACAGGCTCCCCATGTGCTCTCATGTCACACTGTGGTGGTCTGTAGATCCCAGGCCCCTGGCCTCTTCAGATGATACCCACAAGTTCCAGGTGTCCTCATGGCACCTGTACTCTGTCTCCTGAACCCCTCAGGGTTGGTAATTCTCTAGGATGACTCACAGAACTCAAGGAAGTGCTATATTCATGACTACAGTTTTATTATAAAGGATGTATCTTGGTAGAGACTTGGTTTTAGGTCAGTTGTAGTTGACACGGCTCCTTTCCTGATGGAGTTGGGGTGCCACCTTTCTAGTACATTGATCTGTTCACCAACTGGGAAGCTTGCCAAGCCTCATCACCCAGAGATTTTATCTGAGGTTTTATTACATAGGCACAATTGATTAAATCATTAGCCACATGATTGAACTCTATCTACTCTTCCCCTCCCCTGGAGGGTGGTGGTGGAGCTGAAAGTTCCAATCCTGTAATCATATGGGTTTGGTTCCTCTGGCCACCAGCCCCCATCCTAAGGGTTGGTGAGGCAGCGAGTAAACTCAGGTGTGGTCCCCAGGGCCTCCTTCCACTAACAGAAGACCCTCCCATTGCTCAGGAAATTCCAAGGGCTTTAGGAGCTCTGTGCTAATTGCTGGGGACAAGAGCAAATGTGTGTGTGTGTGTGTGTGTGTGTGTGTGTGTGTGTTTGTGTATTATACTACAGGTTGTATTTTTAAAAATTATTTTTTCTAACCAATATTAAGTTCACCTGTTTTAGAACAGTGTGGCAGTGTGGCATATTTGTAGTAAGTTTCAGTCAACTTCAGTTTTCTTGCCATTGAATAACTGAAACACATATTTTGCCCTACCTTAGGTGTCCTCTTGAGGTAAAGAGCTGGAACCAGGAAAAAGATGAGCTGTGTCTCATATTGACACAGTGGATTCCACAGTTACAGCAGGAAACACTTGCTATATAAACACATCCCTAAATATTTGTGTTTTCTTTTGCTTTCTTTCACCAAAGGAGCCAGTGCATCAATCAGATGAAAGAGGTGAAGGAGCAGTGTGAGGAGCGAATAGAAGAAGTCACTAAAAAGGGAAACGAAGCTATTGCTTCCAGAAACCTAAGTGAAAAAAAGGACCAAAGCCAGCAGGTAATTCTGGGTTTTTGCTACCCAGGATTCGAGAAGGCATTCCTCCTCTCTCTTCAGGCACTCTGTTCACTTATCTGCTGATTTCCTCTATCTCTGCTCTTGCTTATGGGTTTGGTTCCCTGAGACACAGCAGCCAGCCCAGGGGTGTTGCAGCTCTGACAGGGCATGCTGGACTCTGGCCCTGTCCTTGAGTGCAGGGCTTTACCAGGGTTACTTCCTTTAAAGTCTGCAGCCACCCTGGGAGAGCATCGCTGCTGTTTTGAAGACCCTGAAACCCATAAGGCCCCCGCCACCAGCTGGTCAGTGGTGGGGCATGAGCACCCACACTGGCAGAGTGTGTGACGCTTGGCCCATGAAACTGCTGCTCAAAGCCTTCAGGAAATCTATGTGTTGGCTTTAAATATAGCAGTTTTATTGAGAGATAATTCACAGACCTACAGTTTGCCCATATAACAGTTACAATTCATTGGTTTTTAGTATATTCACAAAGTTATGCTGCCATCATTACAATTTTAGAACATTTTCATTTCCCAAATAAACCCCATAACCATTAGCTGTCCCGTTCACTCCTAGAAAACCATTAATCTACTTTCTGTCTCTATAGATTTGCTTTGTCTGGACATTTCATATTAGTAGAATCATATACTATGTGGCCTTTTATGTCTGGATCCTTTTACTTAGTGTAATGCTTTCAGGGCTCATCCATGTGTTTGTATGTATAAATACTTCTTTCCTCTTTGTGGCTGGATAATATTGTGTGGATAGGCCACATTTTGTTGATTCATTTGTCAGTTGATAGGTATTTGGGTTATTTCTAGTTTTAGGCTTATTATTATTATTTTAAAGGTTTTGTTTATTTATTCATGAGAGACACACAGAGAGAGAAGCAGAGACACAGGCAGAGGGAGAAGCAGGCTCCATGCAGGGAGCCTGACGTGGGTCTTGACCCCGGGTCTCCAGGATCAGGTGCCGGGCTGAAGGCGGCACTAAACTGCTGAGCCACTGGGGCTACCCTTAGGCTTATTATTAGTAATGCTGCTATGAACATTCATGTAGACATTTTTGTAGGGATGTAAGTTTTCATTTCTCTTAGGTATATACCTAAGAGTGGAATTGCTGGGCCCTATAGAAGCTCAATGTTTTATGAGAAACTGCCAGACCATTTTCAAAAAGTGATCACACTCTTAGATTTTCGCCAGCAGTTTGAGGGTTCCAGTTTTTCCATGTCCTTGCCACTCCTGTTATTATCTTTTTTCATTATAGCCATCCTCATGGATGTGGAGTCCTATCTCGTTGTGGCTTGGATTTTCATTTCCATAATAACTAATGTTGAGCATCTTTCCTGTGCTTTATTGGCCATTTGTATATCTTTTCTGGAAAAACGTCTATTCAGATTCTTTGTCCATTTTTAAATTGGGTTATTTTATAATTGAGTTAGAGTTCTTTATATATTCATATGTATATGTAAAGTTAATAGATACATGATTTCTACATATTTTTTCCCATTCTCTGAGTTGTTTTTTTACTTTCTTCATGGTGTTCATTGAAACATAGAAGTTTTTAATTTTGATGAAGTCCAGTTTGTTATTCTGTTATTTGTTCCTTTGGTGTCATAATTTAAAACACTTTGCTTACTCCAAGGTTATGAAGATTTATATTTTCTTCTAAGAGTTTTCTAGTTCTTAGCTCTTACAGTTAGTCCTATGATCCATTTTGAGTTCATTTTTTATATCTGGTGTGAAGTAAGGGTCCAAATTCATTCTTTTGCATGTGTATATCATTTCTTGGCACCTTTCTTTGAAAACAAAACAAAACAAAACAACGATTCTTTCTTCCACTGAATCGTTGTGGCACCTATGTCAAAAATCAGTTTATTGTAAATATGAGGATTTATGTGTGGACTCTCAGTTCTGTTCCATTGGTCTGTGTGTCCCTTATGTCACTACCATACATACAGCCTTGATTACTGTACCTGTAGCTTTGTAGTGAGCTTTGAATTCAGGGAGTGTAAATCCTCCAACATTGTTTTTTTGTTTGAAATTTAAGATTTATTTATCTTAGAGCATGCATGTGGGAGGGGCAGAGGGAGAGAGAATCTCAAGTAGGTTGCCCACTGAGCACAGAGCCTGAGGCAGGGCCATCTCCTGACCCTGAGATCATGACCTGAGCTGAAACCAGGAGGTAGACACTTAACTGACTAAGCCACCCAGGCATCTCTTCCCTTCTGTTCTTAATTGATGAGTGTTTTTATCAAGAGGTGTTGGATTTTTTCAAATTCTTTTTCTACATCTACTGAGATGATCATGTAGTTTTTGTCCTTTATGCTATTTATACAGTATTACACTAACTGATTTTTGGATGTTTCACCTTGCATACATGGGATTTAGCCCACTTAGTCATGGCATAAAATACTTTTATATGTTGCTAGATTTGTTTTGCTAGTATTTTGTTGGGGATTTTGGTGTCTATATTCATAACAGATACAGTCTGTAGTTTTCTTATAGTGTCTTTGGCTTTGATATCAGGTAATATGGGGCTCATACATAGAATGAGGCATAATCTTTTCTTTGGGAAAAGTTTGTGAATATCTGATATTGATTCTTTAAATGTTTGGTGGGATTCATTAGTGAAGACATCTGGGCTTAGGCTTTTCTTTGGGGGAAGTTTTAAAATTACTAATTCAGTCTGTTATGTCTATTCACATTTTCTATTTTTTTAAAAAATGATTTATTTATTTGAGATAGTGGAGGGGAGGGGCAGAGGGAGAGAATCTCCAAGTACATTCCTGGCTGAGCACAGAGCCCAATTCAGGGCTTGATCTCCTGGCCCATGAGATAATGACCTGAACTGAAACCAAGCATCAGACACAACCAACTAAGCCACCCAGGTGCCCCTCACATTTTCTATTTCTTGAGTCAGTTTGGGTAATTTGTATTGTTCTGGGAACTTGCCCAGTGTCCTCTAGGTTATCAAAGTTGACATACAGTTATTCAGGGTATTTTTTATTTTATTTTATTTATTTGATAGAGTGAGGGAATGAGAGAAAGCAAAAGCAGAGGGAGCAGCAGGAGAGGAAGAAGCAGGCTTCCCAGTGAGCAGGAAGCCAGAAGCAGGGATTGATCTTGGGACCCTGGGATCATGAACTGAGCTCAAAGCAGATGCTTAACCAACTGAGCCACCCAGGTGCCCAGGTGGTATTTCTCTTTAATAGTTTTGTTTGTGTAAGGTCAGTGGTGGTCTGTTATTTTAGTAAGTTCATTTTTCTCTTTTTCTTGGTAATGGTTTGTCTTTTTAATCTAGGTAATGGTTTGTCAATTTTGTTCAACTTTTCCAAGAACTTACTTTGATTTCATTGGTGTTTTCTGTTTTCTACTCTGTAGAAAACAGAATTAATTCTTGCTCCAGCATTTATTATGTCCTTAGGTTTAGTTTGCTCTTCTTTTTCCAGTATCTTAAGGTGGAAGATTAGGTTACTGAATTGAGATCTTTCTTTTTTCCTTAATACAGACCTGCAAATTTCCCACTAAGCGCTGCTCTAGCAGCCTCCCATAAGTTTGGTATGTTGTGTATTTGTTTCAGTTTTTCTCAGGATACTGTTATTTGCCTTGTATGTTCTTTGACCCACTGGTTATTAAGAGTGTGTTGCCTAATTTCCATGTTTGTGAATTTCTCAAATTTTATTGTCACTGATAACTTCATTCCATTGTGATTGACATCATACAAAGTATGTTCAATTCTTTCAGATTTGTTGGGGCTTGTTTCATTGCCTAGCATCTGTCTGTCCTGGAGGATGTTCTATGTGGATTTGAAGATTGTATTTGCTCTTGTTGGGTTCACTGTTCCATAGAAGTAGTCTAGTCTGGTTGGTTTAGTGTTCAGGTCTTCCTTGTCCTTGTTGATCAGACAGTAGAAGCCTACTTGTTAATCGATTACTGAAAGTACTTTCTGAGAGATCTTAACCTTAGCACTTTGGATTTATGCCAGGTGGTCGGGCACAATTGGAGCATATCATGGCATTTCTCTGTGTTTGGGTGTTTTGTCAGAAGGACATCCATTGCATTGCTTCGGGTTACTGTGAAGTTTAAAGTCACAGAGCCCCTAGCTGTCATGTGCTCCTGTTTTAGCTCCGAGCCCCCAGTGAGCCTCAGCCCAGGCCACAGGAAGCAGACCTGCCCCAGGCAGAGGTACCACAAGTGAAAGGAAATGTGCCCAGCGATGGTGAGCCCCAGACACCAGCCCCCAGTTTGGAGGTGGCTTTGGATTTGAAGAGACAAGGTGAGAAAGGTAAGTGAAGCCTGGTAATTACGCATTTAAGCCCTTGAAGACAAAGCTCATTCAAATAAATACATAGTGGCAGTTCGTGTCCAACATATGTGTATACAGCCTCATGCAAGAGTGTCCCTGCAGATGGCAGTTGGTGACTTGGGTTTGGGCTGCAGGAAGCAGGTCTCTCTGAGCACCTGGAATTGAGGCCCCAGGGCTTTTCCTTGTCTTACTGACATCTCATCCTTGTAAACCCAGTACCTTGTTCTTTGGCAGCTGTGTAAAGAAAGATCCAGGCTATTCCATGTTGAGGACATCATTAGAAATGTGGGATTATGGGGAGGTGGCTGAGACCTGAGCAGCTGTCATGGGAAGGGGTGGTGGTGGTGGTGGCTGCTGTGTCCTTGGGGAGTGACTCCTTGGTGGACTGACATGCCCTTCTCCCAGGTACTTGTCTCAGAGTACCTGGTTAGATGATGGTTAAATTGATGATGGTTAGATGACTTCAGCTTGTAGTTTGTTGCTGTAATCAAGATAACTTGTCCAGGTTTTTTTCCTAAACTACTTCTGTCTTCTTCATGGCTCTGAAGATGAGCTGCAGGTAGAGAGAAGCCTGTAGTCTTTGCAGACTCATAGAATAAGTTTCGTAGTTCCTCCTCTATCCACAGCCCTTGGGAAGGTTCTGGGAGTTGAGTGGTAAGAGGGTTTTTGTTTTACATAAACTAAATGCCAGTGGTGTGTTCTCTGCACAGGGGAAACCAATGAGATTCAGGTCATCAGTGAGGAGGAGCCTCAGAGGGACAGCCTGGGGCTGCCCCCAGAGCCAGGCCGAGAGCAGGCTGTAGAGGAAGACAGACCTGTGGGTGGAAGAGGCATTGGAGAAGCTGGAGCAGTTGGCCAGACCCCACGGGTGCCAGCAGTGATACTGGCCAGCCAAGAAAATCAGGACACAGAGGACCTTGAGCGGGACCAGCTTGTCATCCCTGATGGGCAAGAGGAGGAAGAGCAGGATGTTGACGAGGAAGGTAGGTTAGCTGCTCCATGGGCTTCCACTGACTCCGCCACTCTTCTCCCGATACTAGGAAATCCCATGAAGGGCCCAGTTTGCCATTTGGTGGTGGTGGTTTGTTGAATATCTGTTACTGAGTAGGAGGCAGGAGGGAAGAGCAGTGTGCTCACCAGCAGTTGGAGGTGTCAGAAATAATATTCACAGCAACTTGGTGGTTTGGTGGTTGGGTGGTGGGGCTTCAAGGTGGAAGGCCTTGAAGTGGGTGCTTAGCATCAAGTGAATGTAGCCCCTGCACTGGACCATGTGGCTTGCCTGTGTGTCTACGTCCTTATATGGTGTCACGACCAGTGCCCAGTGAAGGGAGGGATGGATGGATGATTGGGTAGATGGAGTTTCATGCATATTTGAGCATGGCAGAGAAGTGACATGTGAATCCTACCTTGCTCGTTTGGTGGACTTTTCTTTAAAGATACAGGAAAGTGTGGGGACACCGACATCAACACAATATTCGAGGATGTATCTGGGTCCCTACAGGATGTGGAAGACTTTATTCCTAGCCAAGCCAGGAACACTTAGGAAGGGAAGAAGATACCTGTGCTTTGGGACGAGCCATTAACAAGAGGGGGGAATGTGCTTATTTGTGGAAATTACCCTGATTCCATCCATATAGATCTCATTTGCATTCAAGCTTGTCTTCCTGAAGAATGTGTTCTTACAAGGTTCCATTTAAAGAATTAAAAAGAAAAGGCCAACTCAGGTGGCAGATCCAGTGGCGTGCAGGTTTTAGACTGGCCACAAAGGTAACATCTGAATATTGGTTTGAGATCCCACAGGATACACACCAACCTGATGCAGCTGTAGTGACGGGATTTGCAGAATAAAGTGGCAGGGCACAGGGGCATGTGCTTTGCTTCCCTTCAGGCAGTGAGTGCAGAGAGGTGTAACTAGAGCCAAATCAAATCTCCCAGACATGCTTTTTAGAAAAAGATTTTTTTTTAAAGATTTTATTTATTTATTCATGAAAGACACAGAGAGAGGCAGAGACATAGGCAGAGGGAGAAGCAGGGAGCCCGATGTGGGACTCGATTCCAGGTCCCCAGGATCACAACCTGAGCTGAAGGCAGACGCTCAACCACTGAGCCACCCAGGCATCCCAAGATTTTGTTTATCTATATGAAACCGTATGTCTCTTGAATGCCTTTTGTCCTGATCTTTTCTGCAGGACTGAATGTGGTGGTGAATGATCTGATTCTGTAGGGATGATGGAAAATCCATTGGTACCAGGTAGCCACTCTATTTCCTTCTTCCATCAGAGCCACAAACCATTCTGAAGAGGTGCCATCATTAACTAGAAACCTGTTGTTTCCAGCAGTAGTGGCACTTCCTTTTAACCTGGAGTTGGTCTCTTTTTAAAAACCCAGGAATTGGGTTTATTATTTTTTTAATATTTTATTTATTCATGAGAGATGCAGAGACACAGGCAGAGGAAGAAGCAGGCTCTCTGCAGGGAGCCCGATGTGGGACTTGATCCCAGGACACCAGGATCACAACCTGAGCTGAAGGCAGACGCTCAACCACTGAGCCACCCAGGTTCCCTGGAATTTGGGTTTAATTAGCTCATTTCCCCAGTTTCAGCCCAGAATACAGCCCTGTGTTGAGGGCCATGGTTTCTATGGACTCAGAGTTGAAGTGGGGGGCAGACATAAGTGGAAACTCACACCTGCTGTTCATTCTGGCAGCAGGCACACCAGTTCCTGCGGTTCCCTGAGACACTGCAGGAAACCTGATTGTTAAGCCGTGACTGGAAACACCCCAGTTCCTGGGTTCTTTAGCTCCTATGGCCTCAAGAGAGTAATGTGGGCTGTGTTCTCTGTGTTCATTTTACAGGGAGACACCAACAAAAGCTGGGGGGAGAGGAGGACTACAACATGGATGAAAATGAGGCAGAATCGGAGACGGACAAGCAGGCAGCCCTTGCAGGGAACGACAGAAACCTCAATGGTAAGAGGTGTGCCGCAGGTGATGGGCTTGCCTTACTTTACACTTTGTGGTCTTTTGTTCACTTTAGCTAAATACTGAATCCCAACACTAACATTGTAAGTCATCCACCATTGGAGGGCATGTCCCCCATCCTGACCTTTCTCAGCAGCATTTTCTTGCTTTTCTTTATGGGCTTTTCACTCAGGTGGGCATCCCTGGACCCCAGAATTTAGTTTTGCCCATTTTCTTAAAACTGACTGCTCTTTTAAGCTTCTCTTAATCAGCAGGTTCTCCTTCCATTCCTTTTCTCCATTACCCTGGAGTTTCCCACCATCTGTAGAGTGCTGCTTGTTTATTTATACTGCTGTTTAGTATATTCTTCTTTCCCCTCTACTTCCCCCATATTGGCAGCCGATATCCAGATGCTTGGTAAGACAGCTTTGGGCTCAGGCCCTTGGTAAAATGGGAGGTGGTGGCAAGGAATGCCTTTCTTTTTGTGATATAAGTACCAATTGATGTTCAGTGCCTTTGTTAATTCATTGGTGGTATTCTAGTTCAGCCTTTTGTATTCTGTTGGTTATTGAGATATTTTTTATAAATAGGCAAGTCAGTGGTTTTATCACATAACACAGGATAAAAATGCTTGATTCTCTTTACCCATCTTCACAATAACAGATTATTTCCCGGTCATTCTCTGAAGGTAGTATATAAAGTACAAACTCAGTGGATTTAAACTTACTTGATGGGTTTCACTCGATTGTACTTATTATCCTTTTTGGAGTTCAAGTTATCCCATCTTCTTCGGCCAGTGGAGCCTTCCCCACTTTAATCTGAACCTTCAGTTCCTTTTCTCCTGGCCCTGTCCTCAGCCACGGCTCTTCTCCCTACTCAGCTGTTTTCCTTTGTTTTGTTCGGTGGGGCTCTGTCTGGGAAGGAGCTTCAGAAAGGAGCCTTGGTAGAGGAGTTTCAGAAGTTCCTAGGGTTCAGCCTCCCCTGGCCCCTCAGTCCTTACCCCATAGCCACTTTGCACTCTGCAGTTTGTTCACTGGCCCAGGTACTTTCTGGTGTAAATCCACTGGCTGTTTGGAGTTCTTCTGTTCTAATCTTAGGCCCATTGGGTGCTCCATTGCTCTTGTTCTTTCTATATGCTGCTAGCATACAGGCACTGTCAATCGTTTTTGTGTCTGCTTCCGTTTCAGGGTCTGCAGGATTCCTTGTCATCTACTCTTGTGAAATGTCTCTGGTATTTTTCAATGTAGTTGCTTTATGAAGGGACCCTGAAATTAAAAAACTATGCCACTGCTGCCACTACTTTTCCAGGACCATCAGGTTTTTACAATTTACATTTAGATATCTGATTCACCTGATTAATTTCAAATGTATTCAGGTAGTGTGGCGCAAGGTTGGGTCCAATTTTCTTTTTCCTAAGGGCTGTCTAATTGCCCCAACACCAGCTCAGGGCCTGGGATTTGAGGTGCTACCGAATAGATTTCCGTACATACCTAGGTCTACTTTTGGTTTCCCTGCAGACTCACGCTGTACCACACTGTTCTAAGTATAACAGCTTTCCCTCACTGCTCTTTTTTCAATATCTGACAAGGCTACTCATTCTGGGTGATCTTGGCCAAGATCTGTTTGAATAATGCTTCTTCCTAATTTGATTCCTTCTTTAACTCAGATCAGAAATGTTAGATCTTACCATTCTCTTCAGGTCTCTTACCCTCTTTTTTATATTATTCATTTCTGCCTCCCTGATCTGCATTGAGAATGATTTCCTCAGACATAGCTTGTAGTTCACCAATTTTTCCTTTAGCTATGCCTTATCTGTTCTTTAATTCATGGTTTTAGTTTTTTCATTTCTAAACTTTGTACTTATTCTTTGCTCTTTGTTTACAAACATCTTTTAGTTCATTAACTGTATCAGACTTTTGCTTCTTTAAGTGTATCAGGCATTATTCCATGTCTTCCAATTCCAGTGCCTGGAAACCTTGTGGGTATTTCATCAGATTGCCCTTAGGATACCTTCTTTCCTGTGTTTTGTGCTTTTTAACTGTCTCCTAGAAGCCCCTAGGGGCATCAGAGTAGTACTGCACTAGAAAGATCCTTTCCTTTGGTCAGCCTCTCAAGGGCACTCACTACAACATCACCACCTCTTTAAGAACGTAAATTCTTTTTTTTTTTCTTTTTTAATCACACAGGAAATGTGAGTTCAAACTGTATACTTGCACCTCCTCCTCAGTCTAACCACTAGGTGTTCATGCTGTCCCATCTTCCCTGCAGACTTTCCATTACCATTCAGCTTTATATAGGAGTCCGCTTCTGGACTTACCACCCAGAATGAAGCCTTGTCTTTAGCTTCTGTCCCTCTGCATCTTTGGAAGCTGTGAAAGCAGCCCAGTGTCTTCAGCTTCAGAAGTCCTTAGGGCAGAACTAGCCTTGATGCTTACTACCTTCAGGAGTTGGGACCTTTTACTTCACATTTGGTCGCTCAGATTCCTTTTTTTATTGCCATTATAAACAGTGCATTTTAATGTCTTTAAAATATTTTCCCTTTGAAAATAGGTTTTAAGATAAATATAATTTCCATATAACCTTTACCCAAGTTCCCCAGGTTAACATCTTATGTAACTTTTGTCCAATTATTGAAATGAAGACATTACTACTGATAAATGCTATTATTCAAATTTAGTGAATTGTCCAACTAATATCCCTTTTCTGGTTCAAGATCTAGTCATCCAGGATTATACACTGCGTTTTTCACACTTCCCTAGGGTCCTTTAACCTGAGATGTTGATGGTTCTTGAAATGTTCTGGCCGGTTATTTGGTAGAAAGTCCCTTAACTTGGGTTTGATTCAACAATGCATTCTTTATTTATTATTATTATTTAATGCATTCTTTAAAATCTTTAAAAAAAATCTTATTTTATCTAGCATGTCAGTTATTACAGTTGGCAGAGTTGTTTGAGGTTTCTAGAAATGGGAGTTTTTTTTTTTTTTTTTTAAAGATTTGAGAGAGACCAAGTAAGCACAAGTGGGGAGGAGAGGGAGAAGCAAGCTCCCCACCAAGCAGGGAACACAATATGGGGCTCAATCCCAGGGCCCTGGGATCGTGACCTGAGCAGAAGGCAGACGCTTAACTGACTGAGCCACCCAAGTGCCTCTAGAAATGAATTCTAATTTGTTTTTAAAATTATTTTCTTAGAAGGACACCTGAGTGGTCCAGTGGTTGAGTGTCTGCCTTTGGCTCAGGTCGTGATCCTGGGGTCTTGGGATCGAGTCCTGTGTTGGGCTCCCCACAGGGAGCCTGCTTCTCCCTTTTCTTCTCTGCCGGTCTCTCATGAATGAATAAATAAAATCTTTTAAAAAATTTTTCTTAGACTATTTATATGATTTTTAAAATGCAAACCATGAACATATTAGCAAGTCAGTATTTTAAACAAATACAGAGTTTCTTACTCTGTTCTGTATTGATTCCAAATACCTATCTGTGTACCTCAGTCCTTGACTATTTGCTGGTGTGGTTACTGTCCTACGTATTTTGCCATCCTTTCAAATCAGTCTAGTGTCCTAAATGTTTGGCTTGCAGTGAAGCTCTAGGATTTTTCATCCCCTACACACAGGGGCCCCATGAATTTGACCTTGTTTGTATAAGGCTTCAACAAAGTGAGGACACAGAAAAGAAAAATGCTCTTTCAGCTCATTTAAGAGTTTTAAGTCAAAGAACTGCCATCACCATCATTTTAAGATTATATCATTAGATCATTAAAATAGTTTAAGGCCCTGCTTGCTCCAGGGAAATTAGAAGAAAAAGGCATTAGTTCCAACTTTATTAGAGAACCTTAAAAGACCATTTAAGGCAGTCATTTAATTCATTTAATAAAATCATTAACCACTTAATGTGTTCTAGTTGTAAATCAACGTGGTGGTTCTAGGTTTTGTTAGGTCTGTCTTTCTATGTCCTTTCTGTGTCAAAGGAGAGTAAGGATGTTGGGAGCCACATAGACTTCAGCTCTATAAAGAAGCTTTGTAGTAAGAGCTGCCTGAAGCTGCAAGTAGTTCTTAGGGCACTGTGATGCCTGCTAGAGATATACCACCAGAGATGCAACACAGCACAGCAGAGTTGTGGTTGTATCACAGATTTTATGAGGACATTTTATATTGCCCATTTTAGAGGACATTGGGCATTATTTCAAGATTTTAAATAGGAAGTTTTTTCAATGTTTTAGCTTTATTTTGTGGCACCATGTTGGTCATACGTGTTGTCTCTTCAGTACCTATCCTTGATTAGGAAAGCAAATCCCCATTATGTTGCTGTGGAAGATAACTCTCCACACTTCAAATAGAACCTTCATGGCTGGTTTCCCTGAATGTTTTAATGTTTGATTATGGTTTTTTTTTTTTTTTTCTCAGTTCTTAATGCTGAAAATCAGAAAGGAGACATAATAAATTTACTTGCTCAGCGTGAAAAGAGGAATCACACACTCTGAATGAACTGGGATCATATACTGGTCAGGATCGAACAGAGATCACTACAAAATATTTATGAAGGGTTGAATACTGTGAAATGTACTAATAAGTAAAATATACACCTTAAAGATTATTGTGGAGTTTTAATATGTACTGTATGTAGGAAAATGATTATCTTGTAGATGGTTTTTTGGGGGTATTTTCAAAGTGTTTATGCTAAGATGTCAAAATTTGTCAGCTAATAGGTATGAGATCAACACCGAAAATAGAACCCAAGTTTCTCCTTCAAATATGGTGACTGTGGCGCTTTTTAAGAAATTCTGGAATGTAACTTTTTTTTTTAAAAAAAAGCCTGTAGGAAGAGGCTGCCTTCAAGACACCAAGAGACCCACCACACCTGAGAATTCTTCTCTGGTTCCTTTGGTGTCCCTCTTCACATGGTGTGCTGAGTGCCCGGGTCCCAGCCCGATATTCTGTTCTCCAAAGTCAGTGCCGAAAGATTACTAGCTTATGCTCTCAGTTCTGGTTTGGACAGTCAGTGGCCTGGAGCACAAAACTGTTAATACAGACATCACTAATAACAGTTTTAAACAAGTCTATATACAGAGGCATTTTATGTATTTTTAAACTACTTGTATAACCTTTGTCATTAATGTACAGAAATGCTTCTAAGTGACTTGTAATTTGAACATTTGTGACATTTTTACTTTGCTTGGTATGTATGGGCAAAGCAAAATATTCTGCAGTAAGACCATTTACCAAGAAGAGCCATGAGTAGATTAGACTTTTCACACAACCGGGGCCAAAGCAGAGCTGATCCTGGGGCCCATAGCAGAACAGGGAGGGAAATAACAGCACTGTGGGGGCATGTTTGCTGTGGACAGAATGCCCACTTCACCATTACAGGAAGGAAGAGGAGAGAAAGATGATATTAAGGGGTATAGACAGTGTTAAATGGGGAAAGTTTAGAAAAGCAACAGCTGTTTTTCGCATAGTCTGTACATTTGGCTTGTGATGACTATCAAAAGTGATTTAAAAATCAAAAGTTAATCTGAAAAGGACTAATCACAATTCACATTGATTTGCTTCTCAGTATTTCCAGTAAACTCTTGCCACTTACCAGTGATAGGCAAAGTCACAGTAGTGACTCTTAGGCCTTCTTCAGGGTAAGTGGGTGGTGATGCTTATTAAATACAAGTCTCGGGATTTGAGATGCAGGGGCCTCACATCACCTAGTATAACCCTTCACCTTTAGAGAGGAAATGGGGGCCCAGAGAAGTTAGAGCTACACAGGCCAGACACCTGGCGAGCCTTACCTGGTCTGGACTCATGGTGCCCCTGTCTGGCACTAAAGGCAAGACCTGGTTTGCATTCAGGTTAAGATCTCCAATGTGAATGTTACTCATGTAGGTTATCTTTTTACTTAATTACTAAGATTAAACTTTTCCACCTGGAAAAAGCAACTAAAGAAAGGTGTTAAAAATAGCTTTGTGAGATTTTTATATAAGTCTTTGTCCGACTTCCCTTTGTGTCTTAGCCTTAGGGTTGATAGTCTCTCTTGCTTTTTCAATAAAGTGTCTATTCATTTCATGTTTAATCAGTGTGCATAGAGTTCTGAAAAACATGTTTAACTGATTTTCCTTTACTGCCTTATTGGATCCCTGAAGAATCAGCTTGTAAATTGTGGATTAAGAATGGTGGTTTGGGGGGGGGGGGTGGTTTGCCTTAAGCCTTTTGTGGACTGAGATGGGATGTCATTGTAAATAATAACCACCTTTTTCCATCTTTATGTACAGAGGCACTAGAGGCCATTTGTTCAGGAGGTGTGTACTGTGTGTGATTTCTCCAGTCATGCTTTTTTACCACTGGCTTTCCTTGGTATCACATAGTCTCTTATTCATTCCAAGGCAACAATTTATACAGGTGTCAGTTTTTTTTTTTTTTTTTTAAAGCAAAACAAAAACCTGTGTAATACATAAGTAGATAGCAAACCCCCCACTTTGGTCTTTTGGTTTCATCCAGAATTAATCAGCAGCTATTCCAATCTTTAATAGGTGGAACTGTTTATTTCACACCTTCCTTGGGACTCTCAAATGGTGTGGAGACAGGAGTGTGATAATTCAGATTCCCTGCACAAGACTCAGATTTCTTGAGTAATGTAAGCACTGCACATACTTCATGGATATCTGTGTGATGAAATTTGAGAAATAAACCAATACCTGTTAAGTCAGTGTGTGGTTATTAAATAACTAGATCATAACTGTCATGATTGTTTTAATTGGTAAGTTACTGGTTTCCCATTCTTAGTGGAACCTGGAGTAGAAGAAGACACGTGTGAATTCAGGGTCCTTTAAGGTCCAAGGGGATTGGTCTACTCCCACTAAGAGATTATTAATTATAAATAATTGGTAGTTAATAGGATACTCTACAACTTCTAATCCTTGTCTCTGGATTTTCCAAAAAATACAAAAAGATTCCATTAAATGTAGGCGATGTTTTTTTCCCCCGTATCATTAGCTTAGACTTTGAAAATGTCTTATTTCTCCACAAAGAGAGCAATACTTTCTTAAAGTGTACAAAACACTGTCCCTTAAAAACTGCCTTATAAAATTCTGATGATGCATACATTGAAGAATTACTCAAAGTTGCTATCATCACATGCACTTTTTTAAAAGCTAAAATAAAATGCTTCCAGCCTTGTTGGTGTGCCTGTGAAACACATCTTTGGGAAAGTTAAAGGACTTTGAAGTATTATCTTCTTTAAATTATGCATAAACTTCATATGAGTTTTATAAACCAAGGCCCTAACCAATTGAGACAAATGCTTATTTTCTATCCTTAGTCCTTAGAATAAAATGATACAATCTAAACCAAAATAAAACTCCACAGCAGCATGAGACAGGAATTAGAATAAGCAGCAAAGGATAGGGTAGGGCCTCTGGCACTGGGCACTTAAATCCAACTGTACCTTTAAGTTTTCGAAGCTAGCAGATACTGGAAAGAACCCCAGTGAAAACATTTCAAGGGTTAAATTGAGTATGTAGTAGTAAACAAAAAGGAGTATGCCATATTGAAACCTTACCCTAAAAATTTACACATTCTTACCTCTTAAATAATGTCAGTAGCAAACATTATGCATAATGTTTTAAAAGTGCCAAAAGGAACAGTTAAAGGATGTTAAAAAAAAAAAAAAAACTTCTATATCCTTATAGGTATATAATTTAAGACATCATGACACAAAATCACAATCCCCATGTAATTTAGTCTCCCTAGGTAGGTTAGAGGTTCCCCCACCCTGCATATTCCCTTTTAAATGTATTCTGCCAAAACCCCATTCACATGTTTGATCAATCCCTTGTTTTGAAACTTCTTTTGAGTAATGTTTGAACTACTCAAGAGTAAACACCTTCAATTCCTAACATGCATCAACAAAGTGCTGTTGTTTTTCATTTCCAGTAGTGCATTTTTTTTGTCAAGAAATTTATTAACCTTTACAAACACTATTTTCACTCATTCATTAAAAAATGATTTATGATTAAATCTGTAATAAAACCATGTAACGTTCATCACCGCATTCAGTAAGCCCAGTTTCATCCGTGGAACATAAACCACTTTAAAACAGCAGTTTTCATTCACATCGTATAAGGCTGTCAAATTAAAAGTATTTCTTATAATAGGCTGTTATCCAAGAAATCCATTTCACTTCATGTTATGTGCTGAGATTGACGGATGGATCCCCTTAGAATCTGAAAGTAGATTCTGCCCCTTGGTGGTCCCCATTCAGTGTCTCTCAAACAAGTTTCACAACAGGAAAGTATTTGTGAGCAGAGAAATCAAATTCAGGAGGAACCTGTAAAGAAAGGCAGGAAGAAAATGAATGTATTTACCAATATTGACAGCTCAGTGTTTTAGAGTTTCTCACAATTTTAGAGGTAAAGCAGCAGGAAGAGAGGAAAACCTGGTTCAATGACAAAGTAGTTAGGTACTAACCTGGAGGGAAAATGATTTGCTTATCTCTGGGTTTAAGAAAAAACAGTTAACAAAGGCAAATAGACTTAAAAGATAGGGAAGGGTCATGAGTCAGCACACTTTTTAGTTCCTGGGTCACAAACAGTACTAAGCAAAGAAAACGATCTAGTAAAGCAAGGCAGAAGATAAGGAAGGCAGATAACAAGCAGCAACGGGAGTCAACAGAGGTACACACAGCGCAAATGTTCAGCAGTGCACATGTAGACCTAACAGCACTGCCAATACACCAGCCAGGTAAGCTTACAGAATTTACCATCTCTTGAGCCATTGAACAGTCTTTAATTACTAAAGCATTCACTTTTCTACAGGCAGATAACTTTTTAAATATCTCTCCCATAATAAATTTGTTTTCACACATTCTGTTTTACTTCAAGTCATTCACAGTAATTTATACAACGGAGGGAGGAGAATGGAAGGGCAGACTTCAGATATTTTAAGTCAATAAAATCTCTAAGTTTCAAAGCAAAATGGCAAGCTCTAGTTATTTCCTGCCACTGAGCTCTTTTAAAGGGATGATTTTTGAAAGTTTTACCTTTTTGTAATATTTATGCATCTTATTTTTTTAAAAAGTTCTGCAATAACTTAACACCCATTTATTTTCCCCACAATGCACTTACCTTAGATTCCTTTTTGTGTCCTCCTGCTAATAACTTCATGACCACAAAGTTGGGTTTGGCAACCTTTAAAATTCTATTCACCTAAACAATGAGCAACATTAAGCTATCAAAACAAAATTCAGAGTCAAAATATCTTTATATTATTGATAGTTATAGGAACTTTGCACAAGGTAAATGTTGATATTTTATTAAATAAAATAAAGACAATGTAACAACAGGAACAGATATACTTTTTCGTTACCACAGAGCTCTATTTCAGTTCAGCTGTGCTGCCCTGGAGGGGCCCCTGGGTCATCAGGTTGCAGAGGTAGCAGCGGAGCACTTGGGGCACAGACTATGTAGCTGGAATGTTTGCAAACCCCACCTCTGCCAGGCACTAGCTTTCATAGCTAGGGGCAAGTTCTTCAGCCTCTCTGTTTCTCAGTTTCTTCATCTCTAAGCATGGGACAATGATTTGACTACCTGCCCCCTGCCATAGACCTTCTGGGAGGATTACTATATGAGCTACATACTATACTACAAGCTGAGAACCACACCTGGCAGACAAGAAGTGTCCTGTGTTTACTGTCACTCCTGACTACCCCCAAGCCTGAAAGGTTTCACATGAACACATGAACAGCAGAGGACTGGAATGCGACATTCCTCCCAAGAGGGAGTGATGTGCAACTTGAAGAAAGAAGTTCCCATTGCTCCTTGTTGCTAGTTGACCTCTCTGTAGAAACACCTCACCACAAGTTTGGAACGGCTTCTCCTCAGCCCCAGATAACACATCCACCCGTTCAGACAACAGCTCCATCTGGGCCTCCCAACCAGCATGTCCCAACCTGAGCTCCTGACATCTCAGCCCTGTCTCCCACCTGTTCCTGCTCCACCTGCCCTTCCACTGACTCCATCCACCTGGGGGCTCAGGTCCAAACCCTGAAGTCCTCCTTGACTCCTCTTTTCCTCACTCATATCCAGTCCATCTTGCTTTGGATCACCTCCACGGTCCACACCATCTCTCACCAGATACTGCTGTGGCCCCTACTGGCTCCCCAGCTCCCACCTTTGCTTCTACCACAGTCTGTTTTCAGCACAGGGGAGCCAGAGTGAACCTTTAAAACAAAAATCCAATCTCGTCACTCCTCTGCTCAAAACTTTCCAACAGCTCACCCCTTGCTCATCCCACTCCAGCCACACCAGTCCATGGCCTTGGGGCCTTCACATGTGCAGATCCCTCTGCCCACTGGGCTCCATCCCCAGTGGCCATGTGACTTGCTTTTTCACCTTCTCAGGAGATTTGTTCACAGGTCACTTTAATTTAAAAATGCATAATCCTTCCTACCTCCCTACTCATAGTGTTTGCTATCCCCATCCCGAGCTTAATTTTTCTTTGTAGTCCTTATGATCTTCTAATGTACTACATAATTTATTTACTGTCTGCAACATACGACCTTCCACTGCCATCAGGAGGGCCAAGATTGGTCTAGTGTTTTGCACTAATTTTTCCCACAAGGCTGGGGACATAGTAGGCACTCAACAAATATTTATTGAGTAAACGAATTAAGGTACTTTCCTCTAATTTTTACATTCCTTGTATTTTTTTTATTACATGATTAAATAGGACAAAAGTCATCTCTCTCCTATCCCTGTTTCCCAAGGCACCAGCTCCCCTCCCAAGAAGCAAACAGTATTATCGATTCTCACACAATTCCTACATCTCTTTCTGGAGATGTACTCCTGTAATATCTCTGCACACATACAGACTTCCTGGGCCCCTTTTAATTGAAATGGCAGCATACTTCACAGTTTTGTACTCTGCTCTTTAAACCTCTTATATTCTGAATAACACTCCATTACAGTATATAATGACCTTCTGTATCCTTTTCAAGACCTCAAGTATTACAGTATACGGTATATCATCATTCATTTGACAGTCTCTGTTGAGGGACAGTGAAGTTTCCTTAGTTCTTTGCTATGAGAATCCTGCTGCAATGAAGACTCCTGTGTATTAGCCACTTGCTTCCCTCACTGCCCACACATGCACATATATGTGTTACATAAATCCCAAACAGCAGAACTGCTTGGTCTATTTTAACAGGTAACTGCTATTAACTTCCCTTTCATGGGAATTGTATGAAGATATACCCCCTAAACAGTCAGTATTACAGGCAAAGCATTCTCATTTGCAGAATACATGCATGTAAATATAATTAGGCATACAGCAAAAAGAGACTGCAATTTAGTATTCTGTAGATTCAAAGATCTGTAGAATAATATCTCAAAATGAAGTCTTTGAACAGTAGGCTCTATTTTAAATGGTCAGGTGGAATAAGGTTTTTACTTCCTGTGATAACTGACCAGATCATTTTTCGTATTTTTAAGATTCAGCATAATAAAACTATATGTTAAAATAAAAAATTTTTAAGTGCTACCATTTTTGAACTATGGATCACTCTGGATCCTATTTCTGTTCTTCCTACTCACTTTATGGTTCTATGACTTAATTTCTCTTTGCACTGATTTCTAAATTTACAGAGGAGCTATTTGCTTTCATCGGAAAATTTTAAGTTTTAAGGTTGGGTTAGCAAAGCTACTTAAAATCCTTGCCAGAAACATGACAGGCTTCACTATTAGTACTGTAAGGTTCATTTTTATAAACTGTCATTCAGTACTAAGATACGTATTTCCTGCCAAGCTTTTCCTTTAAAATTATTGTGACTATAGTCTTACCTCATGGTCTGGGTTTGGGATATTTTCCAGGATCATTTTTGCCTGTTGAAAGTGCTTACTAGCTGCCACATACAGTTCTGGAGACTGAGGAGGAGGGCTGTATTTATTGAGGTCAGACATTTCCTAAAAGGGGAGAAATACAATATTATCCAAAACATGTTTCATATGAAAAACTCTAAAATCCCTTTTGTAATTAAAGAATTCTGCCCTAACTCATGATTCATATATATAGACAACATATAGACACTAAAGCAAACACCCACCATAGGTCCCTATTTTTCCCTTTTGTAAATATTCAATTCCCAACCTTTGTATGTTACCTCTTGTTATCCTCATACTTTTAAAATAACTCAATGTGATGAGTATATCCAAAAAGAGCCAAATAATTTTCATACTAATTAAAACTGATCTTTTATCATCTTGTCACTGGTCCAGTAATAGTATGATTTGGCTATTTTAACGAAACAGCTAGGTACAAACAGCGTATCTCTAAGAAAGTCTAAGACTGAATAAGTATTCTGCAGTTGCTTTTATGAGCAGAGTCACCTTGAACTGCAGATAGTGCACTGGGGGTGGGGTCATTACACTGTTGAATGGAGCAAATCTGTGCTCATATCGAACTTGTTCACTATCCAGCTCAAACTTGGGTTTTCGTACTTTGCCATCCATGTCAAATGCTACCATGGTCTAAAGGAAAAACAAAATGAAAGAAAAGATGGTATCAATATGAAAAAATGAACTCCTCATTAATACAGGACAGAAAATAAACATATATTTACATGGACTTAAAATTTTAAGGTTCAGAAATCAGAAATAGGAAGAGAAAAACTGGCTTACTATTCATTTTTATGTTACGTGCCATATTCATATAAAAAATTTTCAAGTTCCAGTGTTTAATGTATTAGTTTTCCCCAGTGAAATTATACCACATGCATATTATTCTGACTCATGCTCTTACAATAGCTTTGAGACCTTCAAGTAAAAGCTTCTAAAGAAAAGTCATATATAGTAAGAAAAGCATAGATCCTGTTTCTCAAACAGAAGTCCATGTTGTTTTATATATCTTAATATAGGTTGTCTCAGATAATTTCTTGAATTGCCAGGTACAACTGAAGAGTTAGCACTTGCTACCTCCTGAAAATGTCCGCTTTTGCTTCAGCCAATCACTGTGGAGCTTACCCCCTTTCTAATAGGCTCCTAAAGAAATACAAACCCCATCTCTTCCAAGAAACCTTTTCTGATCATGAATCAGAAATAAACTCTGCTTTCTCTTATTATGTCACACAGGTCACCTGACCATCATTACCTAAACACTTGAGACCAGGATAACATCTCATTAGACTCAGTATCCTTAAATGTACTCAGTTGAAGATATCGGACACATGGCATGGGTGTTAAATCAACATTTATCTACAAATACTTGCTAAACAAATTAATGAAGAGTAACTTGGAAGAAAGGTAATTCTTAAACAGATGGTTAGTAAACACAAAGGTGAAATTAGAATTTGGGAAGAAGCACAGAAGAGTCCATTTTAATTAAATAACAGCAATGTAGTTAAAAAGCAAAAAGAACTGCATTTGTGACAACTTACTTTAAACATTCCAGCACACATGTTCTGATATGCCTGGCTCATTGTGATCTCTCGGCTCAATGGGCGAACTGTAATTAAAAAGAAAATCACCCACACCCTTTTCTACCTCCTCTTGCATTACTGCAGGCGAAAACCTAATTAAAAAAAAAATCTTCCATCTTTACTAAAATTAAAAATTCAAAGTTATTCCTACAGTTTAAATTTTAAGGCCCAAATTTAAAATAGTAAAATATAAGTGAAATGAAAAGTTTTTTAAAAAGCTATGTCCACTAAATAATACCATAAAATTCTAGTATGAAGTAATTTTAACTTCTTTTGAATTCACCATAGAGATTTAATTTCTGAAATAGGATACCCATCAATATAGTCATTTAAAAACCCACTCAAACTGTTGAGATCCTAATGAAATACAAAGTAATATTTTGTAACCTTTGTACCAATATCCATACCCTTCCACTAGTGAAACATTTCTTTCTCCTCTCAGCCTTGGGTGTTGCACCCAGGCCTCTGTGATCATCTCTCTGTGCCATTATAGTGGTCAGCCTTCTGTCAAAACATCAAGGGTCTCCTGCTGCCTTGTCCTTAACTTACCCTGCTCACACACTCCAGGTGGCTGCTACTTCTTGTCCTAAGGTCCTCTAACACAGAGAATAGCATAGAAATAAAAACCAGGGAAGGCACCAGAGGCTTGTGTCACTAACACTGGGACGCAGTTTCTCCCTTATATTTTCTGAAGAAAAGATGGGCAAGAACTGAGATGTAATGACTGATTCACCTATAAGGCATACGTAGCTCTCCATCTATTTGTACAAATTTTTTTTTTAATTTTATTTGAGAGAGAGAGAACATATGAAACGGGCAGAGGGAGAGGGAGAAACAGACTTCCCTGAGCAGGGAGCCCAACATGGGGCTCAATCCCAGGACCCTGGGATCATGACCTGAGCCCTCAGGTGTAAAAGATACACCTGAGGATAAATATCAGTCCTTTTCGTTGCAGCAAAACAAAAGCTCCACACGGCCTAAATCAAGGACCTGTCCTTAACCTACTGAGCCACATGGCACCCCTATTTGTAGAAATAAAAATATATTCCAATGCTAGTTATTCTTGAATTTAAAAACAATCCACAAGTACCTTTCTTCTTTTTCTTTGTTTTTTTACTGCTCCGGCCTTTCTGCTGCTCTTCCATGATCCTTTCCTCTGCCATCTGAGAGCCATCAGCACGACTTAATGTTGACATTAACCACGCATAAAGGAATTCTGATAGATACCTTCAAGGGTACCAAATATTAAGTTAATGGAAGATGTCTACATGAAATAACTTTATCACCATAGGTACTGGTATTAATAAAGACATATTTTTAATACTGCTTTAAAAGTTAAAAAAAAAAACACCCCAGATTATCCAATTAGATAATTGATTAGATCTTACAAGAAACTGGCTTTACAAATGCTTTTCCTTTCTTATAGCCTTATAACGTTGCTGGACAATGCTGAAAAATGCTTAATTTCCTACATGCATTTTACAACTTTTCAAAAGACTTCTTAATTACATTTATATATATAAATCAAATGAATGCCCATTAAACTGTTTTTTTTCCCCCTTTTTATTTTATCAGGACACACTTCACCTCAGCCTGTAAGTCAGTATTTTATTCTCCCATTAACTGCAAAATAAAGCAAATTAATTTAGGAAATAAAAGTAAAGTTGTAGGCACTATCCCAAAGCATTCTAAAAAATTAAGGACATTTAGGCTTATAATTATTTGAGTTTATTCAGCAAATGAAATGCAAAACAGATTATTCCAGCCAATACTAACTTTTCAGAAGTTTAACCAACATTACACTCTTCTATGCCCAAAGTGGTTCAAATCTAGGATATGAATATATATACTTTATAATATAATCCATAATAAAGTTAAGGACCACTACTATATTAAGCTAAAAATCAAAGATTTAGAAGAAATCTTATTATGATCAAGGATGAGCATGTGATGCCTATTTCCAAAATTCTCCCAAAAATTGTAAAGCAGGTTACAATACTAAAATATAAAATAAATAAAATAAATAAAATAAAATAGAATATAAAATAACATAAAATAATAAAAATTAAATAATAAAATAAATAATAAAGGAAAATAGTAACTTGCCAAAAGATACACCTGAGGATAAATATCAGTCCTTTTTGTTGCAGCAAAACAAAAGTTCCACACGGCCTAAATCAAAGCTGTACTGGCAAAAAAACAAAACAACAAAAACTCCCAAATGCCTGGAATGGCTTAGGTGCTGTTGTTTTATTATTTATTTATTTATTTTTAAAGATTTTATTTATTTATTCATGAGACCTAGAGAGAGAGGCAGAGACATAGGCAGAGGGAGAAGCAGGCTCCCCGTGGGGAGCCTGATGCAGAACTCGATCCCAGGACGGGATCCGAAGGCAGATGCTCAACCACTGAGCCACCTAGGCATTGCAGGTGCCGTGTTTTAAAGTGAAACTAAGTACTATACTTCCTGGCAACTAAGGCAAACTGGGAAATGTATTATTATTTCATAAAAAAAGTGCATATAGTTTCAAATGAAAAGAATTCCTGACAATGAATTTAAGAAAAGCATTTAGAATATCCTTTTACAGTATACAAATGAATTTTTTCCCCATCACACTACAAGATCTCAGGGTCTGGATCTTAACTCAATGTGAGGATTTCTACAGGGAATTAATGTTGCTGCCTTCTACCTTCTAAACATCAAAAATAAGGATAGATGAGTGAAGGATATAGTTGGCAGAAGTTAGGCTTTTCTTATCAATTATCAGGCATCTCAGTGAGCTTTTATTAAATGCATTATCAAAATCAATGCACAATTTTATCTAAGGAGGGTCAGAGTACCAATATTCTAGACCAGTAATTCTCAAACTGTGATCTCTGGACAAGCAGCAACACAAGAACTAGTTTGAAATGCAAGTGATTGGGTCCTATCTCTCCTATCTCAGACTTACTAAACCAGGAACTCAAGGGACCAAGCCCAGCAAGTGACCAGGATGCACTCTAAAGAATCAGTGTTTTCTACTATTGATTCTGAAAGGGCCACATGCTTTAGGAATGATTATATTCAACAGGCTTATCTTGTTTAAATGCTGAAGCCTAATCAAGAATTTTGATATTGAGAAGCAATTAAAACATGAAAGTAGACCACAGGGGTATTTATAGGCAAAACTAAAATTCTTTCGTTAAACGGAAATGAATCTGCTCAAACATGCAGATACATTTCTAATGGAGTGTTTACGTATCATTCATTTGCTGAATTAAGAGCCCCATTCCTTGTGCCAAAAAGCATATAAAATTTTTATTTTGAAGAATCAAGAGCACAAAAGCTTCCTGTTAGCTGCCTCAAACTTCAGAGAAAGAAACTGAGCATGTTCCTCTACAAAATGTCTGGTTTGACTACTGTGTCTACTGTGAATTAATAACAAAACATATACCAAATAGTTATCTATTGGTAAGAGTTGTTATCTACATAATATTGGAGAGTATATCAAACAATATTATTCTATTACTTTAATTCATGTTCAAATTCAAGTTTCACAGTGTAGAGTTACAGTGTAGAGTTACATGTAGAGCAGCCATGATAACAAAATCATGTCAGTATGGAAGAGAATTACTCTCCTTCCTTCATAGTGGTGACACCAAGGAATATATAATATCTTAATTTACTGTGTTAAATAATCCAAACAGGAGTTAAAAAGATGAACCATATTGAGATCCAATGTACTACTAAGCTGTTTGTCATGAGCAACTGGTTCTTATTTTAGTAAATTACCACCATACTTGGCCAGACTAAGAAAAAGATCCAATAGCTCTTAATTTATTTTCTTTCTATGGCAGCTTTCCGATGCCTAAATATTTCCAAACATCCTCTTACTAGATTTCTTCATTTCATCTTCAAGTGAAAGTGAAGAACTATTGGTTGAGGATGGTGATCTCTTACAATTCCTTCAAAGCTCCTAAAATAAATCCCCAGGGTGTCAGTTTCCAACAGTTATGCCCCCAATGATAATCTTAGCCACGATTTCTTCTCAGAGGAAAGATCTGGCTCAGATTTTGAACTCTAATTCAGTTAAGTACACTCCATAGCTAGCACCTAGTGTCACTGATTCAGGACCAAATGTATCTTAAGTTTTCTCTCTAGAAACAGACAAAAGCTCTTCAACTAATCCATTTACTTTGCAGCCACTTTCAGTAATCTTTAAAAATTCAATGGCTGGAAAAAGCGTATTTGTATGATGTTATAGCACTTAAAGATGTTCAAGACGATCTGGCTCTAGTTTTTAAATAGATATTTTTCAACTGTCCCACAAGTAAAGTTAAAATACATTAAGTGAAAAAGTATTCTGAAATTATATTCTGTTCTAAAGATGCTCTCTCAGATCTTATCTACTCTACCCACTGCTAATTTTAACTCACGTTGTACTCTTACCAATATATGTAGTAGTACTCATGCATGCTGTAGAGTTCCAATTCAAAGCCACTCAGAAGATACTGGATCATAATTCGAAGGTTATGATACAGGACCCAGGTACCTAAACAGGCCAAATGTTGCCTCTGAGGTTCCTGTTTCAACAGCATAGTGTGAAGGGCTGCATCAACCTTCTCTGCCTATCAGAATCAAATGTCATAACATTGACATTTTTTTCAAGGTAATGAGAGAATTAAAAAAAAAAAACAGCTGAAAATAGCATTTAAGCAGAAAATGTAAAGCTTGTCACCTAAAGAAGTCATACTTTCAAAACATTTTTGATTAGGTTTAAAGTTCTCATTTCATGATGGGTAACATTTATGTAACACTCCTTAAACTAAAAAGACATTTTATAAAACAAAAATACAAAATATTGACTTCAGGTCTTTAGTTATGTTATCAATACTGCTGCTTACAAATTAAGATTTTTATTAGAATGTGAACTTGCTGTAAAACTATAGTTCTGCCCATATTTTATAATTCATTCTGATTATCAAAGACATAATTTATTTGTTTGGATTATTCTCTTTTTGTAAACTCTTTGATAAGTGAAACTATTAAAGTTAAAAATAAATTCATCACACTGAAAAATTAGTCAAAATATCATTCTAAAGAATTGTTTTAAAAAATCTGATCAAGATATAAGAATATCTTAATTTTTAGAAGGGAAGGTAACTTATTGGCTCTTACCTCATCCTGCAAGGTAGCAAATTCCTCAAGAATATGCCCAAGCTTATCTCTCTGTCGAGCCCTATTATGTCCATGGATCTGAATAAGACTACAGAAGGGCTGCAATACACATACAATTTGTTAACAGTGTAAAATTACTTGACACTAAAGAAAATTAACATTCCAAGTTTTCAAAATCTAGTTTAAGGGGGAAAATATATTGTGGATGTAAGAATAAGGACTATGCATATTTCTTACATAGGTATTTCTTTTTAAGGAAACTCAACATGAGAATTTATCAGTAGCCAAAAGAAAGTGGCTGTTACATATAAAACTTGTTTTCATATGGCAAAAATATCTTACTTCAATCTTTAGATATTCCCACAATTTCAAGAGAATAGTTTCTTTTCTGCTTATCTCAAGCTATTAGCCAATGTTCAAAGGTGACACTTCTATGCTGCTTACATTCACCAGAATAATTACAAGGCTTAAATAACAGCTAATACAATTGACCCATGAATAACACAAGGGATAGGGATACCTATACCCCATACAGTCAAAACTTCATGTATAACTTTTCATTCTCCAAAAACTGTTAATAGCCTATTGCTGACTGGAAGCCTTACTGATAATATACACAGTTAACTCCTATTTTGTATGTTGTATGTTTTATATACTTACAATAAATAAAACAGAGAAAAGAAAATATTAAGAAAATGTTAAGAGAAAATACATTTATAGTACAGCATTATATCTAAGAAAAACTGTGTATAAGTGGACCTTTACAGTTCAAACATCATTCTTTAGAAACTGCAAGGTTTCTATTCAACATCATAAAATATTGTAATACTTCATTAATCAGACAATACACAATGAATGGTAGGATGCTCTGATTTAAGAAATATGAATTAGAAGAATAATTTTAAATTTACAGTTTGACAGATATTATCTCACTTGATCAATACCCTCTAAGAAGTAATGGTGCAGTATTAACACCTCATTTTTCAAAGACTGAGAAGTTTATAGAAACTATAAGTGATCTGCCTGACAATCATAAAATATTAATGATAAATTTGGAATCTGGCCCTTTAGTTCTCCTCTTTTCACCATTCCAAGCTGCCTTCATATATATCTACATCTATATCTCCACATTTCCTATATATATATATATATATATATCCAATATATATATATATAAAATATGTATTTATTTAGTAACTGGAATTAGGCCCCCAAACTGCTTCAGTTCTCCAAGAGAAATGTTTATATAATTAAATAAGAATGATTTATGATTAATTTAATCCACTACAAGATTTGTATTTTTTCCTAATTACCTGAGATTTGAAAAAAAAAATTGTGATCTCTTTGACATTAACAATTTTAATTATACTATAATTCTATTCATTAAAGTCATACAAAGATAAGGTATCTGGGAGTGTTAAATTTTTTATTTATTCAATGAAAATAAGTAAGAAATGTTAGATGGAAAAAAAAAACAATGCTATGGAAGGAATTACACCCCATAAATTTTAAGGTATCCATCACAATGATCCAAACTGTATTTCTTACCCGAACACAGTGAGTAACAAAGGAGTCAATACAGTCCTTAGCCTGGTGATTATTATATAGGCAGCACCTGTAAGATAATACTCATTAAAATCAAACTATTTGGACTACAAAAAGCAGCAGTGATTACCACAGGTACTACATATAGACAAGGTGGGAAAAAGAAAATGGAAATCAAATACATTACTGAATTAAAAACTAGCATTAGATTAAGAAATATTTCACTATTACACTATTAGTTACACAAATATATATTTCCAATTTTTCAGTTCTACATTTGGAACTGAAGAGTTGCATCCAAGATCAAATTAACAAGAGAAAAAAAATTCCAAAGTACCACTTTTTCATGACCCTACTACAATGTTACTTATTTTTCTACAATTGACACCCCTCATGGACTGTGCTCATAATAGTCATTACAAAGAAAATACTATACAGAATCATCTTATTTTTTTCCAAGATGTATCCACATTTCCAACCACTGCCCAAAATGATCCCCTCTACATTTCTGGTACCTCATCTTCTATCCTTATGAAGTGGTTCCTGTGGTGTTCCTTATCTCTGTTAATAACATCACTTCTTGACTGAAGCCCTCTTTGAGCAGTCTGGGAGGATGTGCTTACCCCTGGAGGAATTACAGGGGCTGAAGAAATGGAAGATTGTTTTTATCTATCCCTACCTGACATGTAAGGTCTGTAGGCCTTTGCACCTAAGAGGATGGGAAAAGGCAAAGACTTTCCCCTGGAGCACTGACAGAAGCAGACAACTTGCTACTCCTCAGTGTTTGCCATAACTGAACAATCTGACCGGAGCCTCAAAAATAAAGAGAGCCATAATCATGCAACATAAAATGATAGTGCACACAGCATCCAGGAGAAAGAGCAGAACACCTGGAACAGGTGGTGGCAAAAGAGAAGTGCTGGAAGGTCTATTATATCTTTAACTCCAAGATAAAAATATGATTTAAGGTCATTAAAATAAAGCTCTTAAAAAAGACTTTCTGGACCCAAAAGTTAGGACTTCCAAATTTAAAAGTTCAATGGATGAAAGACACTCACTAATAGCCTTGAAGGTCAAGAGGAAGAACTTTCTCACATCATGGCAAAAATAACAAGAGATAAATATTAAATACATATAAATATAAATGAGATAAATATTATAAAGAATATGGAGAAAAGACCTAGAAGACTTAGTATATGAGGGGTTCTAAAAAAAAAGAGGTGAAACAGTAATTAAATGAAAAATAATAAAGAATAAAAGATAATTATTGATTGCAAGACCTGAGGCTTTAATGACTGAGTTTCTAACAGGATTGCTGAAAATCACACATGTATATTCTGATAAAGCTCTTAAACTCCAAAAAAAAAAAAAAAATAAGAAAGAAAAGAGATTTTACAATCTTCTAGAAGAAAGTCCCAAATCACTTAAAAAGGAAAAAAAGAATCAGATCAGGATCACGTTTCTTCCCGCACCGCCCCCCCCCCCAGGATCCCATTTCTTATCTGTAATACCAGATTTTTTTTTTAAGATTTTATTTATTTATTCATGAGAAAGACACACAGAGAGAGAAAGAGAGGCAGAGACACAGGCAGAGGGAGAAACAGGCTCCATGTAGGGAGCCCAATGTGGGACTTGATCCCAGGTCTCTAGGATCAGGCCCTGGGCTGAAGGCAGCATTAAACCACTGAGCCACCTAGGCTGCCCCTGTAATACCAGAATTTTAAAAACAGTTATAGTAACAGGGGCACTTGGGTGGCTCAGTTGGTTAAGCATCCAACTCTTGGTTTCAGCTTCAGGTCATGATCTCAGGGTTGTGAGATTGAGCCCTGCAATGGGCTTCACGCACGTAGTAGTCTACTTGAAATTCTTTCCCTCTCCCTTTGCCCCTTCCAATGCTCTTGCACTCTCTCTCTCTAAAATAAATAATAAAAACTTAAACAAAAAAAGTGGAATAACATTTAGAGACTATCATGCAATGAACTTTGTTATACATACAGCCAATTCTCCATGTTCACGATACTTGTTCTTTAAAGCTGCTACAGACACTGAATTAGACAATATGTTAACACTGCCGCTAAAGTGAAATACAGGGTTAGGTTCCTGCCAGCTTCTGGCGACACCATTTTCATTAACTGATCACTATGTAAGTGTTTTAAGATGCCTCATGTAGGGACGCTTGGGTAGCTCGGTGGCTGAGCATCTGCCTTCAGCTCAGGTTGTGATCCCAGGGTCCAGGGATCAAGTCTCACATCTGGCTCCCTGTGAGGAGCCTGCTTCTCTCTCTGCCTATGTCTCTGCCTCCTTCCGTGTCTCTCATGAATTAAGAAAAAAAAAAAGATGCCTTATGTAACGTCTACTGATGATTCATTAATAAACTCAGGTCTGAGTTAACTTATCTAACATACATATTCTCTCTGAAAGGCATGCCACAGTCTTCTTGTGCTGAGGAATCCTAGACAGCACATCATTCATTATACATGGAGGCCATCTGAAACGATGAAATAGTTTCAAAAGCACAAAAGTGTGAAGAACATGGCACCTAAGGGAGTTGTTTACAGTGTACCAACTGAAAAAATGAAAGTAGAGTTGCCTTGTTCAACACTGGGTGACTCAAAAATTTTTTGCTGCTCTGCACACATCTGAGAATTCTGCGAGAATGGAACAGATACTGATTGGAGGATTACAAATACGTTTTACCAAGTAAGCAAGATTTGCAAATATGGAATCCTAAAACAGTGTAGGTTGAACTATAATTAAAGCTAAATGGGTAATAATAAAAGTACTAAAGGAAGATTGTTAAATACAAAAGGAAAAAAATGCAAATTAGATATAAACACTATTTCACATACATCACTGTCAAAAATTCCAAAGTGTTATAATGACAAAGCCCAAACAAAGTCTGGGAAAACTATAATTCTTATACATGTTTTCTGGCATACAAACTGGTTTAATTATTTTAGAAAGCAATTCGGCAAAACTAGTAAAGTTGAAGATGCACATGCTGTATGATCAGCAATTAATTTCAGTTCTAAGTATATACAGCCTATGTGCACAAGGAGACATATTCAAAGAAGTTCACTATAGCACCAGTGTGTTTTTTTTGAGAGAGAAAAGAGAGTGCACAAGCAGGGGTGGGGGGAAGGGCAGAGAGAGAGAGGGAGAGTGAATCCCAAGCAGGCCCCACCACAAATAAGATCATGACCTGAGGAGAAATTAAACAGATGCCCAACCAACTGAGCGATCCAGGCGCCCTCAGCACTGTTCCAACAGTAATAAATTAGAAACAAATTAAATGTCCAACTATAGAGAAACAACAAAACATGTTCAAAGTGTGAATTTTAATGAATGAAGTAAGTCTGCATGGATCAAATTAGGTGATTTCAAAACCCTAAAGTTGAATGAAAAAGTCATGTTGAAAAGGATACATACAGTGTGACAACATTTATGTGAAGTCTAACAAATGGATGTATTATTTCCAGAAACATATTTGGGTGAAGTATAAAAGTAAGCATTTATAAAAGTAAGACAACTGTGGTACTGTGGTCACCTCTAGGACCAGAGTGAGAGAAAAGGATGGGGTGGGGGAGGATGATTTGAAATTGCAGGCTGCTGTTCTCCAAATGTGGCCCAGGTTCCCCTGGTGGAGATGATGACCTTGGGATGCTTCCCGGGGGAGCACCAGGTCAAAACTATTTCACAATCATATTAAGATGTTATTTGCTTTTCGCACTCATTCTCTCACAAGTGTATAGTGGTTGTTTCCAGAGTACATGCTGTGTGATATTACAACGGATTGAAAGCAGGTCAAAATAATCCAGTTATCTTCTATTAAAACAGAAAACAGATTTGCAAAAATGTAAAACTGCCACTTTTATCACTAATTTTTCTTAAAAACAGTTATTTTCCATAAAAATGTTATTATGGGTCTGTAACTTTAAAACAATTAGTAATTTTTTTAAAGTATTGTTTTAATTTCTAAAACAGTAGGTGGCAATACCCATGAGCCTATATAAACAAAACCCATCTAGGTCTTTAATAACTTTTAAAATGTAAAGAGGTCTCAAGACAAAAAAGCTTCACTGCTGATTTAGATGTTACCTCTAATAATTTAATTCATTAAAATTAGTTGTTCCTTGATACTTAAGTTCAACGCTACTTGGAACTTTCAGATGTTGCTGTTAGGAAGCAACCCCGCCCCGGATTCTGTGTGGCTCACTCCCTCAGTTCACTCACATGTATCACCACTTGCAATAGGCCTTCCAACTATCACAGCTAAGAGAACCATCTATCTTTTTATCTTTTTACAAAGCACTTATGACCTTGCATTATGTATTTGTCTACTGCTCAGTCTCTCCCACTAGATGGGAAGCTCCTTGTTAGCGGGTGTGTCCTCCTTTTCCCTAGAACCAAGAAAGGTGCCTGGCAATAACAGGTACTAATTTACTATATTTATTACATAAGGAACTGATAAAATGAATATACATTAAGTACTTATCAAATTTTATCAATTCTCCAAAAGGGGAATTTATAAAAAACAAATAAAAATATTGCTTAAAGTGGATGGTAGTATAGGTAGCTGTCAGTTTATACATCTGAGTATTTGATATATTATAAATTTATTTTTATTTTTTTAAAGATTTTATTTATTCATTCATGAGAGACAGAAAGAGAGAGAGAGAGAGAGAGAGAGAGAGAGAGAGAGAGAGAGAGAGAGAGAGGTAGAGACACAGGCAGAGGGAGAAGCAGGCTCCATGCAGGGAGCCCAACATGGGACTCGATCCCAGGTCTCCAGGATCACGCCCCGGGCCGAAGCCGGCGCTAAACCGCTGAGCCACCTGGGCTGCCCTTTAATTATAAATTTTAAAATAACTCTTAACTTTCTCCATTTGCAGATAACATCTGTAAAAAACCTAAAGATTTCACCAAAAAACTGTCAGAACTAATAAATTTAGTAAAGTTGCAGGGTACAAAAATCTATTGCACTTCTATACAACAATAGTAACTATCAGAGAAATTAAGAAAACAATGTCATTTATAATAGCACCAAAAAGAATACTTAGGAATAAATTTAAGCAAGGAGGTGAAAGATCTATAAATGAAAAACTGTAAGACACTGACTAAAGAAACTGAAGACATAAATAAATGGAAAGATATTCTGTGCTTATGGGTTGGAAGAATATTGTTAAAATGTCCATGTTACCCAAAGTGATCTATGGAGTCAATGCAATCCTTATTGAAATTCAAATAGCACATTTTATAGATATAGAGAAAAGAATCCTAAAATTTATATGGAACCACAGAACACCCTGAATACCCAAAGTATCTGGAGAAAGAACAAAGGAGTGTATCGCACTCCCTGATTTCAAACTATCCTAACAAAAGCTCCAGTAATCAAAACAGAATGGTATTGGCATAAAAAGAGACATAGATCAATAAAACAGAATAGAGAGCCTAGGGGGGAAAAAGCATGCACAATCAATTGATTTTTGACAAAAAAGCCAAAAATACACAATGGAGAAAAAAGACAGTCTCTTCAATAAATAATACTGGTAATGATAGCCACATGTCAAAGAATTACACTGGACCCTTTTCTTACACCATACACAGAAATGGACTCAAATGTATTAAGAACCTAACACTTCTGTATGTAAAACCTGAAACTGTGTATCAGAATAAAGTGTAGGTGATAAGCTTCTTCACACTGATGCTAGCAGCACTGATTTTTTGGTTTTGGACCAAAAGCAAAGGCAATGAGTGCAAAAATAAACAGTGGGATTACGTCAAAGGGAAAAGCTTCTGCTCACCATGAAAAGGCAACCTACAGAAGAAAATACTTGCAAACCACACATCCGACAAAGGGTTAACCAGGGAAGAGCCAAGAAAATCCTGAAAAAGAATGCTGCCAGAGGACATGTCTTAACATATTAAAATTTAAGACAAAGCCACAATAATAAAAAACATTATTAGATCTGAAATAAATCCCAAAACACAAAGGATTTTCAAGTAAAATAAAGATGGTCTTTTAATCCAGTAGGAAACGACAGTTTATATTGTAAGTGATGTTCACCCAACTGGCTATCTACCTAAAAGGAAATCAAGTTGAACTTCTATCTTCATACCATTTATAGGAAAAGAATTCAGAAGACTTAAATCTTAAATGTACAAAAATAAAATAAAGATCTTTGGAAAAATATATATGTGACTAAAGGCATAACCTGTAGACTGGGGAGATTTACCTTAAACAAGAAACCTACAAGTTATATAGGACAAAATAAAGTAGAAAAAACTACCTTTCAGAAAGCAAAAATTTTGATGCAAAAGAAACCTTAAGGGGAAAAAAAGCTGCAATGCCTGTCACAGATAAAGGAATTGAAAAATAATATAATTTTGTAAGTTCCTGTATATTATCAAGAGCAATACTGTATAGCAATGTGTATTATATACTCATAATGTTAAAGGAATTCATATAAATTCTCCAAAAAAGTGAACCACTTAACAAAAGTCAATAGGCAAAAGATAAAAACAATTCATAGAAAAGTACTTCTAAATGTACAATAACTATTGTATTAAATGTTTACACTAAAGTAACAATGAAATATTGCTCCCTGCCAACCACAATGGAAAAAATTCAAAACAATGATAACACCTACTGCTGGTCAGGATATAGGGAATGTACACTCTCATGTATTGTTAATAGGAATAAAAATTGCTATAATCTTTCTGAATGTAATCTGATAATATCTATTAAAAATACACATACCTCCACCCAGTAACCTCAATCCATAGAATACATTCATATTATATTTGGCAGCCATTTAAAAAGAGTTAATTAGATCTACATCAGGAAATCTGAAACATAAATTCATGATTTATTTATCTTTGAGTGGAAATTTTTTTTTAAGATTTTATTTATTCATGAGAGACACAGAGAGAGAGGCAGAGACACAGGCAGAGGGAGAGAAAGCAGGCTCCTTGCAGGGAGCCTGATGCGGGACCTGATCTCCGGATCAGGATCACACCCTCAGCTAGCCTTTAAAGGCTCAACCGCTGAGCCACCCAGGCATTCTGATAAAATTTTTAAACGACTAAAAATTTTATTTTTTAAAAATCTGATTTATTTATTTGAGAAAGAGAAGAAAGAACACAAGCATGGGGCAGGGGCAGAGGGAGAAGGAAGAATAGGCTCCCCACTGAGCAGGGAGACTGACCTGAGACCAAGACCTGAGCCAAAGGCAGACGCTTAACAAACTGACCCACCTAGATACCCCAAAACTTTTATTTTAAACAAGCAATCCACAAAAAATAACTAAAAGTTCATGATAAAAACAGCCCTTTTAATGTAATCACATTTATTTAAAGTCATAGGTGTATCATATAGCTGTGTATCATAAAGACATTTACAGTGATTGTCATCAAAATGCAGTTATCTCAGAGGTAAGATTTCAGGAGAATTTTATTCTTTTTTGTATTTTATGCGGTCTAAATTTTCAGACATGACCATGTATTATTTATATAACCAACTTCTGGGTTTATTTTTAAAGCAACTTAGTTACCTTCTTATTCCTCTCCTTCCTCTGCTGAATCAGTTGCCACATCCTATTAATTTTACCTCTGCAATGCTCCTCCAATCTGTCCTCTCCTTTATATTCTCAAGGTTTAATCCTTCATCATTTCTTGCCTATAGTGCCGAATTAACCTAGCTCACCACTTTGTCCCCATTATCACTACCAGTTTGTTTCCTATGAAAAAATGCATACTATGCCAATTCCCTCCTAAAAACCTGGGCACTTCCACAGACTATAAAGACCAAATTTTACCAAACCACTCAAAATTCTCCAGCCTAACTCCAAACTATTGTAACCATCCAACTCCCATTTACTTATTCTCTCATTTAACAAAGATTTATAGTGTGCTGGACTAGCTCATATTGTAGACGCTGTTCTAAGCACCTATGGTACGTTGGTGAACAAAAAGCTAGATCTACCTGCCCTGACCTTCTGGAGCTTATATTCTAATGGGAATGGGAGGAGAAGGTAGAGAGGGAAATAAGAAATAAATATAATGAAGACCTGTATGGTACATACAGACATAAACACAGTGAAGTAAATTATGCAGTATAGTATGTAAGGAGACCGTCATTACCATTACAGGAGAGAGAAAGGCAGTGACGGGCTGAGGCAGCATGGAGGCTGCACTCTTTAAATAGTTAAACCAAAGCAGTCCTCACTGAGGTGAAGTTAACAGACTTGAAGGTGGTGAGGGGGTCAGTCCTGGGTATTTCCAAGTAAAATGCCCTCCACCCCAGACTCTATGTAAAGGCTGTAGGATGAGAGCCGGCCTGGCCTGCATGTTCCCAGAATAGTAAGGAGGACAAAGTGGCTGAAGCAGAGATAAGCAGAGAGGGGTAAGAGATGATGAAGCCAGAGAGGTATCAGGACAAGAGTCTAGACCAGAGCATATGGGGCCTCCTAGGATCAATCATAAGAACTTTGGCTTTTACTGTGAATGAAATAGGGAATATAACAAACACTGAATGCCTGGGAGTTTACCTCCTCCCAGGGGTAGTCCTTAACTGATTTGTGTGTGGATAAATTCTCAGGCCTCCCTTGTTTTGTCCCTGACAAGGACAACTCTGAGTACAACCCACACTGTCTCCACAGCTCCCTGGCAGGACCCAATCAAAGTTACTTTCCATGAAGTATATCTCTGTGTGGTTTTCCTCCTTTTCATGCCCCACTTGCCCACAACCCTGCTGGTTTTTCCTGGAACACTTTCTAAGGTTATATGAATGGTCACAGGATCTGCTTCTGAGAAACTCAGGAGAGGAAAAAGTTTTATGTGAGATGTGGCATGATTTATTCAACAAATTGAATGCTGAACCACTAACTCTTCTTAAAACATGTAATTCATATGCCCATGTCTTCAGACATGCTGGTTTTTTTTTTTTGTTTGTTTGTTTGTTTGTTTGTTTTGCTGAGGAAGAATAACACCTTTCTTTCCTCCCCTTTGGAAAAGCTCTACTCTTTTTCCAAAACGCAAACACAGATGATGATTTCTTGCTGCATGAAATCCTTTCCAGCCTCTTATGACAGTATGTTTCTAGTGGTGCCACTGCTCTGTTAATTTAAGGATCAATTTTTTGCATTTTTAATTTTTATCCAGCCTCATATCATTGAAGAGACCTTATTTTGCTTTTTTTAGAATTATTCCCAAAGTGCTTACTTGACACACTGCTTTGCACGCAGTAAGAATCAATGCAACTTGCTGAATCTGAGAATTCTTTCCAAGGTTTTCTTCTCATACTGGGCCTAATGTCAACCTCACAAAAACCTTAGTTTAAATCTAAATAATATGCAGCAGAAAATAAATTAATTTTAATATGACTGAGTTTTTTCGTTTTTATATGAGGATTTGATTACAGCAGTTTTTATGCTTTGGCTATAAAGGAGCACAGAGAATTGGAGCTTTTAAGAAATACATATGCCATAAAAAAGTCTTATAGTACTTACTTTGGGGAGAGCACCGGAGGACTGACAAAAGACCGAAGTGCATCCTTCACCATGTCTTGCATGAGATGGGTTCCAAAAACTTTTTTGTTATCCACCAAGAAAGTGGTCTTAAAATAAATTATGTATTAGTAATGCTGTCACAACTTGACATACTGTACATATATAACTGTCATTACTGTGACATGAACATACTTCTTATAAATACTGGAGAATACAGAAGAGATTAAAGTATAAAAACCTGATGGAAATCAATCAATAAATAAATCACTATTTCTAACATGGGTATTACTTATTAACCCATATTTAAGATATATTCTGATGAAGGAAAATAAACAAATGTCCAAGAAAAAATATTTCCCAAGGGTAGTGATAGTAAACTAGTCAAAATGAACTGACCAGTCTGAATATGTCAAATAAGCTAATACATAAGAGGATGATTCATAAATTATGAAACAGGAAATAGCTATCAGTATTAATTGATCATCTTTCTCTAATGAACATCTGGGAATACATACACGCTTTCTGAAACTGGAAAAATAGATTTGATAATTAAATTTAAAGTATTATTTAGTAATAATTTACATTTAATTTTCTCCATGAACAAGGGATAAAATTACCGTATTATGCCTTTCTTGATTTCCTAACACATTTGGATTGTTTCCAGTTTTGGGTGATCATGAACCAAACAGGTATAAACATTTACATACAAGTTTCCAGGAGATCATAGGATTTCACTTGTTAGGCAAACATCAAGCAGGAGTAGGATCTGTATATTTAATTTTATAAGAATCTGACAAATTGTTTTACAAAGTGGCTGTAGCAGTTCACATTCCTATCAGTAAATACATCCTCACCAGCACTTAGTATTGTCAGTTTTCCTTTTAAAAGATATCACAAAAAGTGGGTAGTGTTATTTCACTGTGGTTTAATTTGCATATCCCTAATCCAATTATGTTCAATATGTTTTCATACTGAAGTGTTCAAATTTGCTGTCCTTTAAAAACTGGGTTGTCTGTTCTTACTGCTGTGTTCACAGAGTTCTTTGTATGATACAAGTCTTTTGCCTCACATGGATTTGCAAATATTGTCTCCCACTCTGTAGTCTCTTTTCATTTTCTTAACAAGGTCTTCCACAGAATTAGCTTTAAATTGATCAATTTATCATTTTTATGAATTGTTTTTAATGTCATACCTAAGTATTCTGTTTTCTAAAATCACAAAGATTTTCTCCTATCCTTTCTTGTAAAAGTTTTATAGTCTTATATTTTAGATTTATGATGCATTCTGAGTCAACTTTTTTTGCATACATCTGTCCAAATGTTCTTGGACCACTGTTGAAAAGGATACCTTTTCTCCACTGATTTGCCTTTGTGTTTTGACAAAAATAACTGATCATTTAATAACTGATCAGTTGATCATGTTAAATAAATATATAATACAGTACTATATAATAAAGGACTGATTAAAGAGTAAGACTTATTGGCTTTCCTCTTGGTTCCACTGATCCATTTTGCCAACACCATACCTCTCCTGCAGTCATGTAGTTGAGTTCCCCAACTGCTCTTTTATGCACCACTGTTTTGGCTATTCTAGTTCCTCTGCCTTTCCTTATAAATTGTAGAATCAGTTGTTGACATCTACAAAAATCCTGCTATGATTTTGATTGAGACTGCTCTGTATCTGTAGATCAATTTTGGGAAGAACTAACTTTTTAGAAATATTAAGTCTTCCAATCCATAAACAAGATATATCTTTTCATTTATTTAGGTTTTTGATTTCTTTAACCAGTACTTCATAGTTTTTTAGCATACAGGTTCTATAAATAGGTGTTAGTTTCTACCTAAGTATTTAGTTTTTTGTGTTGTACATAGTACTGTTTTTAAATTTTTGATTTCCCATTGTTCATTACAAATATATAGAAATATAACTGCTTTTCGTATATTGATCTCATCTCCTGTGTTCTTCTTAAATGCACCCATCTGGTCTAGGAACATCTTTGTAGATTCCTTGACATTTTATATAAAAAATGTCTGTAAAAAAAAGTATTTTTTCCTTTTTCAACTGTATGTTTTTTTTCCTGCCTTTTTTCACTGGCTAACAACATTGCCAATACAGCTCTCCCTCAACTATGATAATCTACGTTGCAATGAATTTATTTAATACATCTAACATATTGAATATCATACCTAGCCTAGCCTACTTTAAACATGCTCAGAGCACTTAAATTGGCCTACTGGGGGCAAAATCATCTGACACATAGCTTATTTGATAATGAAGTGTGAGTATCTTCTGTAATTTATTGAATAATATAGTGAAAGTGAAAAGCAGAATGGTTATATCTGTTATTTACCCTTGTGATCATGTAGCTGAGTGGGAGTTGTGGCTCGCTAGTCATGACCAGCAGCATAACAGAGTATTACACTGCATAATGCTAGCCCAGGAAAACATTAAAATTCAAAATATGGGGCATGGTTTCTACTAAATGTATAGTGCTTTCATATCATCCATAAAGTTTATAATCATAAGTTGAACCCTCTTAAGTCATGAACTATCTGTACAATGCTGAATAAGAGTGGGAGGAAAGGATTTACTCCCCATCTTAGGAGGAAAGGATTTAATCTTTCATCATTAAGTATGATATTAGCTACAGACTTTTTGTACATACCCTTTATGAGGTTAAGGAAGTTTTTTTCTATTCCTAGTTTTGCTGAGAGTTTTTATCATGAATGGGTGCTGAATTATGTCAAATGCTTTTCTTCAATCTGCTGAGACTTTAGATTGTATGGTGGATTATACCAACTGATTTTTGAATGTTGAACCAGGCTTGCATTCTTGGGATAAGACCAACTTGGTCATGATATATTATCTTTTTTTATATACTGCTGAATTTGAATATGATAATACATTAAGGTTGTTCTATCTATCTATGCTCATAATATGTCTAAAATTTTCCATGCTTTAATGTCTTTGTTGGGTTTTGCTACTGAGATATTGCTGGCTTTATAAGTATTGTTGTTTCTTCTATTTTCCGGAAGAGATTGTATAGAATTGACCTGGAATTTTCTTGTTGGAAAGTTTTAAGCTATGAATTCTGAATTCAGTTTCTTTAATAGATACAAGATCATTCAAGTTATATCTTTGTGAGTTTTGGTAGTGTCCTTCAAGAAACTGGTCCATTTCATCTCTGTTTTTGAATTTATGGACATAAGAGTTGTTTAGAATATTTCCCATATATCCTTTTGGGGACTGTAGTAATAATACTCTTTTTCATTCCTGATACTGCTCATCTGTACCTTCTTTATTTCTTGTTCTATCCGGTTAGAGGTTCTTCAATTTTATTGATTTTTTTTTGTTTGTTTTTTAAAGGCTCAGTTATTTTTAAAGTATTGTTTATTTACACCCAGCTGGGGGCTTGAATTCAACGGGAGATCAAGAGTCACATGCTTTTCTAACTGAGCCAGTCAGGAGCCCCTTTATTGATATTTTCAAAAGAACTAAGTTTTTGGTTACATCAATTTTCTTTACTGTTTATCAATGTTTCCTATTTTACTGATTTCTGCTTTTATCTTTGGTATTTCCTTTCTTCTGCTTGCTTTGAGTTTCATTTGCTTTTGTTTTTTTAAGTAGAAACTTAAATTATTCAGGCTTTTCTTTTAAAAAATTTTTAACTCAAGTATAGCTAACATACAGTATTATAATTAGTTTCAGGTGTACAACACAGTGATTCAATAATTTTATACACTGTAAAATTCTCACCACGGTAAGTGTAGTTAACCATCGTCACCAAAATCATTACAATATTTTTGACTATAGTCCCATGAGGTACTCTTCATCCCTGCGACTTATTTATTTTATAACTGGAAGTCTGTACCTCTTAATCCCCTTCACCTATGTCACCCATCCTCCCCAAACTCCAATCCCACTGGTGACCACCTTCTTTTTCTCATATAAACATTTAATTTTATAAATTTTCCTCAAAGCACTTCCTTAATTATACCCCAAAGATTCTGTAGGTTATATTTCATTTCATTCAGTTCAAAATATTTTGTAATTATCCTCAAGATCTCCTCTTCGGCTCACGAGTTTTGCTTAGAAATGTGTTAATTTCCAAATATACTGAAAATTCCAAAAATCTTTGTTACTGATTTACCAGTTTAAGTCCAAAATAGAGAGCATACTTTGTATGCTCGTTTTTAAATTAAGGTTTGTTTTACAGCCCAGGATATGATCTTGATGAATGCCTCCAACACTTCTAATCACAAAAACGTAACATTAACTGTTGAATATCCTTTAAAAGCATCTACTTTTGTTCCAGCAATCAATAATGTTAACATATAAAATTTGATGTTTAAAAAAGTATTACAATACTAAATAGAACTCACTTGCAATAGAGATCTTGAAAGAACACAAGGTGATTGTTCACTAAATTCACAGAAAAAATCCTGATACACAGAGAAAAAATAATGTCATTAACAGATTTAATAAAAGCTGGAAATGTTTGTATATAGCACGTAATTTTTGTCAGAATTCTGAAAATCATATACTACCAGAGTTAAAATAGGACAAAGTGCTAAGGATCATTTCTATAGGAATTGTCTTAATTGTATCAATGGGACAATGGATGATTTTTGAGACTTTTTATTAATTGACCAAAAGTACAACTGTGTGGATACCAATATTAAATTTGCACACTATGAAAATAATAGCATTAATAATAATTTGCTGACAGCAGAGGTTTACTTCCTACTTCACAGAAATAAATACCAAGTAACCAGGCCAAGTGGATTCATGTAACTGTTCCTGATTCTTCTGACATCCAAAAGATATGCTTAGAAAACTATATATGGGTTTATACATAGATAAAAGAAAAAAGGTAAGAAAATATACTACAATGTTAACTTCTGTAGATTATAGTGGTTATTTGTCATTTTCATATTTTTCTGTATTTTCCAGACTCATGATCCTCAATTTAAATGAGTGCTCTTCTAAAACTTACCAAATTTCTCTAGTCAATTCACTTTTTTCACAATTAACTTTCATACTCTGCTCACACTTCTCAAAGTAAATGTTCTCTAGTATAGATGTCCTCCCACTTAACATTGCAAAAAAAATTAAGTCATCTACCAACAGGAAATCCCTCCACTTCTGGCTCTAAACGTTATCTAACATTTGTACTCCGCTTCTTTCCTTGCCCACTTCAACAACGGAAGCCCTCTATTTGTATTAGACTCCATTCCTTCTATTCTTTTCAGGAACATTACACATTGTCAATAATCCATCCTTATCTAGATATTTAAGTTCTCCCTTTATTCCAGATCCTCCCATTTATATTTATGTAGTCAATTTCCTCCAGTTTGAAAAAGAAACTGTTGCACGCTCCACATTTCTCTCTCCACTGCTCCCTTCTCAGCCAAACTTTCTGAAGGAGTTGACTGAACCGTCTCTATCCAAAGGCCCCTCCTCATCAACACATGCTAGTCTAGTTTTTTGCTCTAGTCATCACGGTCCTCTAATACCACATCAAACCAACATTTGTTGTGGACCTTATTCACTTCTTTCATCTGACCTCTCAGCAGTATTTGACAGGACTTCATTCTGGTAAAATAAAACCTTTCATGAGTTCCTTCCTTTGGCCACTTCTTGGGTCTGCTCTGGGGTTCAAAGTTTAGTTCCAGATTATTTTCTTTTCTCAAGCTATATGTTTTTTCCCTTACAATCTTCTCCACACTCATGCTTTGATATACCCAAAATTACATATCTAGCACTGATTTCTAAACTCTATCCATATAGTATCTATTCAATATCTCTGCATAAATATCTCAAAGGCACCTCAAATTCAGCTTCACTACGACTCTCAGCTGACTAAAGGTCTTTCTTTGAGAGTTTCCCCATTTGAACAGCATCAGAACGTATCAAGATTTGCCAGTTGGAAATTCAGAGACCTTCCTGAGAGCTCTCTCATGCCCCATATTTAATTCAACAACAACAAGCTATCAATTTTTGTTCATACACAGTTTGAACTCTGACAAGCCACATCATCTCCCTGCCATCCTTCTAACTCAAGTTACCATCCTCTCTCCCTTGGACTGCAGTATGGTTTCTTAATTTATCTCCCTATGTCTACTCTGGTCCCTTACACCATGTCGTCTCTATATGGCTGCAAATTGTTAATTCAGTTTTTTTTTAAGATTTATTTATTTATTTATGATAGACACAGAGAGAGAGAGAGAGAGAGGCAGAGACACAGGCAGAGGGAGAAGCAGGCTCCATGCCGGGAGCCCGATGCAGGACTGGATCCTGGGACTCCAGGATTGCGCCCCGGGCCAAAGGCAGGCACCAAACCGCTGAGCCACCCAGGGATCCCCTAATTCAGTTTCTTAACTGCCCCACCCATATTGATCTTGCATAAAGTTTGAACGTGAAAAAGCATAAACATGCAGAGCATAAACTATAGAGTCATAACTGACATTTTGGTATTTGTTATTCCAATCTTTTTAAAATTGAATTTACCTGTTTCTGATAAATACTTCTCTGTGTGACAATGTATAAAATAGATAATATATTCTGAAACATAATTTGACATCCACAAACATTTCCCTGTGTCAGTATTTTCCTCTAACATGCTTTTTAATGTCAGTATGGCATATATTCTACACATACTATATACAGGATGGTAGTGTCAGTAGTGGGCATTGAAACTGTTTTCAGTTTTTTTTCTTTTTTTTTAAGATTTTATTTATTCATGAGAGACACAGATAGAGAGAGGCAGAGACACAGGCAGAGGGAGAAGCAGGCTCCATGCAGGGAGCCCAATGTGGGACTCAATCCCATAACTCCAAGATCACACCCGGAGCCAAAGGCAGACGCTCAACTGCTGAGCCACCCAGGCGTTCCTGTTTTTAGTTTTTCAAGATTACAAATGATGATGAACCAAATACCTCTTTAGTTCATCTTTGCATATATCTTAGATGATTTTCTTAATGCTAAATCTCTAGAATGGGAGTTGCTGGATCAGGATATATACATTTTTAAGACTTTTGAGAGCCACAGAAGTACAGTAGAACAACTACTTCCCTCCATCAAGATTAAGTATTACTGTACTTTTCAATCAAGTTGTTATAAACTGCATTTCTTCAATTACTAGTAAGATTGTACATTTTTCCCGTTTACTTCTTTTTCAGTGTGTGTGCTCATGTCCATTGCCCATTTTCCAGAGATGATTTATCTTGGATATAAGCACACCTTATAATCTGGCACTTTATCCTAATCGTAACAGGTTTCTTATGCAAAACCATCAAATATTTGGTCCCCTCTCTTCTCTAACTTTAATCTTCTCAATTCTTGGCCTTAGCCACATTCCCCCACTACCACCATCTATTCCTGTCCCAACTGTTCCAGGGATCCAGACTCTTCCCCTTCTATGCCCTCTTTATGTTCAGTGCTGGCAGTCCAGGCCAGGTTCTCCCAGCCCCCTCTATTTATTGTGTGTGTCATTCAGCATTCACCTCCCTGACAAGGCAATCCATAACCCTCTGCCAAAGGAGAAAATTCCAACTGTTGCATTATTTTTTCTTATTCCAATTCACACTGATGGTCTTCTAAAATCCTACAATTAATCTGAATACAAATATATATTCATGTAACAATTAAGAATCCAAAAAGAATGTGACATAAGATTAAAGGCTCTATTCTAATTCCACATATGCCACTAACCAATCATCTAAATTTGGTAACAAGCCCTCTAATTCTTACTTTGTTTAGCTGTACAATGAACTGCAAAATGAACTAGGTTATGTCTATGATCTTTCCTATCTTTAAGATTCTATGATTCTTAAGACAGAATAAGAACAAAACTACTAAAAAGAAAGCAAACAGAAATGAGGTAATAAAGATATATTCATGAAAGTTTCACTAAGGAATAAAGACTTAAGCTGGGCTTAAATGACAAAGAATTAGAAGGCAAAATAAAGTTATTACAAGAAAGAGCACAAACAAAAGCACAAATCTTTGTTGACCATCTACATCTCAGAGGCTGATGCTCAAATTCTAGGAATGTAAGCAAGGTATTTCATCAGCTCAAGGAATCCAGGTACAGAAGCAACCTGGAACCAGCAAGGAAAACCTCACAGAGAAAATGACATGGGCTGGGAATTATCTGCCTCTATGCAAAATTGTATGAAATAAATTAGTGTAATTAAGTTTAAATAACAATAGTATTATTTTGCATATCTTCTACCTTCGTAACCTTTATAGACATTGCTTTTTTGTACTTTATGCAGATTAACCAAAAATCTGTAAAAATGGCAAATTGAATTTAAATAAAATATATTAAAACATATGTAAAAATGTATATACTCTTTCACCCAGCAACTTCATGGTTTGGGAATTTACCTTAAGGAAGAAGGAAGCAGACAATATGAAGGTTCATCTACAGAGGTGCTCATTTTAGTAGTTTATAACAGTAAAACACTGAAAATGACCTAAACGTAATTCCATATGAATGGACTAGAAAAAAACTGTGATATATGCTTACAATTGAATATCATGTAGCTATTTAAATAATGTAGAAAAATGTGTACTCATTGACATAAAAAGAAAGATATTCATGATACAGAGATTAGTGATAGAAGCAGGCTACAAACAACATGATCTATTTTTTGTATAAAAGTATACATGTGTTTATGTATATATGGATACGCCTATATATGTGTACACACCCACACACACCGACACACATATTTATGTATAAAAAGTTTTGAAGACAGAATCCAGGGTTTAAATCCCCATTCTTAAAACTTGGGTGCATTATCTAAACTTTAGTTTTTTAATCTGTAAGATGGATAATATACAATCCTTATGAAGATTAAATAGAAACAAATAGACAACACACACACAACACTTAATTCCCGGCTATCAAGGAAAATAAGTAAGCAATATTATTTACCTGAGACAGCTTCTAAAAAGTGATAAACTATTCTGTTGTTCAATCAAAATCATATTCCAGAAGAGAGATTTGTACTTACCAGGATACAATGCAAATTTGTTAAATTGACCACTTCACAAACAGTTTTTATTCTATCTATCAATCTTGCAAAATAGTTGACCATTTCTTCCCTTTTAATTATTTTTGCATATCGAGGGAAGGTAGGTGGAAGTAGCCTCTGGTTAACAAGGGGCTCAAAACCCATCATAATTGGATGATCTAAAAAGGAAAAATAAGGAAGATTTTCAATGCTTCACTGCATCTTAAATCTCAAATACTAAGAAATATAAAAAGAGAAACGCCAATTTCAAAAGCATCTTCAAATTCTTGTCACAGTATTGTCTAAATGAATTTTATAGTTTACAAACATCTATACATGTGCATTTTAAAAAACAAGATAAACAGATTTAATAGCCTAAAAATTGTACTTCCCACCTACATGGAACTGATAACAGTGACAGAAAGGGGTTGCTAAAATTAACCATAAGCTAAAAGTGGGACAGAAAGGGGTTGCTCAAAATTAACCATAAGCTAAAAGTGGGACCAAAAAAGTGAATATATTTCCTTAAAAAAAAAAAAAAAAAGCAATGCTTTAACCATGAGATTGCAGAGAAAAAGGTAAAATGGGATGTCTTCCCTTCAATCACTTAACAGTATAATCAACTCAAACTCAGTTACATAATAATGTAAAACAGAGAACAGTCCATGCCCCACCCTCATGAGTCTGGAATACATTTGGTACTGACATTAATTATAGAAGAGTGCTTTAAAATATAAATAACCTTTTACAAGAGACCTAAGGGTGATCTCCTCTTTCCCATACTCTGTCCACTGTGACCTCACTTTTCACACTAGTGCAAGACTCCTAAGTAAGTTTCTCTCAATTTGAAATCTAAAATGAACAAGTAGATGAAATGAGAAGTGATTAAGAATGTGGGAATTGAGGTTCTCTTGTTATACTACAAAGAGGCTATAAACCAAAAATAAATAAAATGGCTTCAGATGTTACTGAAAGATAAAATTAAGCTAAGTATGGGGTACCTGAGTGGCTCAGTCTGTTAAGCATCGAAACTCCTGATTTCAGCTCACGTCATGGTATCAGAGTTGTCAGAGTGAACCCTGACTCAGGCTCCACTCTGGGTGTGGGGCCTGCTTAAGATTCTCTCCCTCAGATCCTCCCCCCCTAAAAAAAGTTAAGTTAAGCAGGTGTCATTATTAAGAATGAAAAGACTGGTATTTAACCAAATTATAATAATGCTCTTGTGACATATGTAATTATTCCTAAAGATCAAACAAATAAAGATGCCCCCTAAGGTTCTTGGTCTTCTTCTCTGTACTTAAATCCTCCCTGGTTGAAGTTATTTATTCTTATATAAATTCCAATTTAACTCATGTTTTCCAGGCTAAAATCATTAGCCCAGAATCCTCCTTCTGGGCTCCAAACCTGAATTCTAACTGCATAATGGACATTTCTACCTCGGTACCCTATATCATCTCAAAAGGCACAATGCTAAAAACTACCATTATCTTATCCCAAACACTGCTTCTCCTTATATTCCTTATATTCCCTTTCTCAATAAAATGACCGACAGCCCTTGCAATTGCTTAAGCCAGAAACCTCCTTGTCTGATTTATTCAGTGCATAAGTCTTAAAAGTATTCTACATCCTAACATCCACTGACCAACCCCCTTCACTTATACTGTCACTGCAAAAGCCTAACTCATTCCCCTAAGCTGAATACTCCCTCCTTAATTAATTCTGTACACTGCCATCTCAATTGTTTTATCTAAATGACAATGTGATTTCATTCCACTAATCCAAAAATTTTGTTGGTTCCCTATTTTATACAGTACAAGATCACTGCTAAGGCACTGGATGGTACTTTAAAATTCCTGCCACTCCTATAGAAAAAAAAATCTGTACTCCAACGAAAAACTATGCACTGTCAGATTGATTCAAGGCAGCTATTTTACAAATCTATAAACTTTAGGTAACTAACAGAAGACATGCAAATTCTGTCCTGGCAGAGATTCACCTGACTTCCTCCCAACTCTATAGAAGAGTTTTGCCTCCACATATAATTTCAATATTCCAATGCTCCAGGTAAATTTGAAAAATTTTAAAAGATTTTTATTTATTTGAGAGAGAGAGAGAATGAAAGACAAAGAGAGAGAAAAAGAGAGAGAACATACACAAGCGAGGGGGAGGGGCAGAGCAAGAAGCAGGCTCCCCAACAACCAAAGAGCCTGACATGAGGTTTGATCCCAGGACCCTTGGATCATGACCTGAGCCAAAGGCAGATGCTTAACTGACTGAGCCATCCAAGCTCCCCTAACTTTGAATGTTTTAAAACTTCATGCCTAGTTATTTCACTGACTTCAACAAAATCCTTAACACATATTCATTTTATATCTGTATGAGAGTCAGTTTTAACTTTTTTCTGAGTCACCTTTAAACATGCTCCATTTCCTAAGCACCTAAGCTATAACCAAGCCCACTGACTTACAAGTATCATGCTCTCTTATACCTCTTTATTTATTCACTATTTGCTCTGCCTATAAAGTCTACACCTATTCTTAGCCTGAGAGACCTACTATAGCTTGGATTCCCTCTTATGCTTGGAACCTCCTAAGAACTGTGTATATATACTGCTACACTATCCATGTGGGATTACATGAATTCTCCCTCAGCTCTTTTGAAAGAGCAGAACTGGCTTGTGTCCTGAACACCTAAATGCCTGGCTCATAAAAGACACTGGATACATGTTTTGTGAATGACAAGATTTCATACTCAAAATAAAATGAAAGACTGTTACCAGTATAACAAAACAGTCTGAATTTCTGATTTATAACCTTTCATTTAAGGTAAGTGTTGCAACGAGGATTCTGTAAGAAGCTTCTTTACCATACCAATATGAATACATTTTGGGCTTTAATGATAAATGCACAGAATCTAAATACTCAAATACTATATTATCTTTATTTTCCCTGAAAGCACTCTAATTTTCATTTAAAAGTATTACCCAGAAATATTCTCTTATTCTTAATAGACATATCTTAAGGCTTTAAACCATAAACAGAAGATACAGCTACTCATGAAAATCTATATTACCATGAAAAGTAAACATTAATGGGAGATGGGTATCAAATATATTCTACATTTTTGTACGAATTTAAACATGTAACATAAAAGGTTGCCTGATTGGTTATGCCTCTGACTCTTGATTTTGGCTCAGGTCATGATCAGGGTTGTGGGAATGAGCCCCAAGTCGGGCTCCATGCTTAGCACAGAATCTGCTTGAGATTCTCTCTCTCCTTCTCCCCCTTCCCCTGCTCACACAGGCACTCTCTCTGAAATAAGTTAAAAAAAGAAAGCAACATAAAACAGCATTAACATGTAAAACGAATTCAGCTGTCCTACATACTACAGGGGTTTATAAGCAGCATTCCTGACCTACACCCGCTAGATGCCAGTAGCATCCCCTTAACTATGAAAACCAAAAATGGGTCCAGACATTGCCAAATGTCCCTGGGAGGCCCCAGTTGAGAAACACTAGTCTAGACAAATACAACAAGCAACTTTAATTCACTGTGGATAAGCTCAGGATGTAATATGACCATCTAATCCATGGAAAAATTAGATGACTGATAAGAAGTGAAATCTAAGGAAAGACGCAAATGATAAGTTAGCAAAACACTGGTCAGGAAAAATATTCCAAGCATATCAAAGGCCTAGAGGACAGAATATGGTCCCTTTGCTTTTTTCCATGAGGAGCTCCAATTTTCCAAATCATAATTTCTCCAAACTTAGGAAGTAAAAATATATGCATATAAACAGAATGGGGACAAAGTCCCTCTGCATAAAGTTAGAAGCTATCTGTATGTTTCTCTCCATTCTCCACATATACTTAAATCACCACCCCCCTACAAACACCTCTCTGGACCTAATCCTTGTTAATGGTTAAAGTTATTCCTAGTAACTATTTTTAAGTCTCAGCTGTTGCTGAATCTCATACATAAGAACACTGTAACTGTCCTGTACGAGACATAATAACCTGCCTGAGCAGAGACAAACAGAAAAGCTGAGATAAGAGAGATTGAAGAAGTTGCTCAGAACAGAGAATAATTGTACAGGAAAGGGGCTAAAAACCAGGCAGGAGTTTGTATCTGGTTTCATGACAACATAAACTATGAAACCTTACAAGAAGTTTTACCACACCCACACGCCTCCTGGAATAAACTGCTCTAACATTTCCCCGCCCTACATTTATCTTCTCTACCACACAATTTACCTCGCCTGGCTTCTATTAAAATAACCCGAAGGGCAGTGGTTTAGTGCCACCTTCAGCCCAGGGCATGATCCTGGAGACCTGGGATCGAGTCCCACGTTGGGCTCCCTGCATGGAGCCTGCTTCTCTCTCTGCCTGTGTCTCTGCCTCTCTCTCCTTCGGTGTCTCTCATGAATAAATAAATAATCTTTAAAATAACCCAAAGAACCCTTACAAAATGAGTCTGAAAAGAAGAAAATTCATATTACTTTCTACCCAGTGTTAGCTTTGCTTAATCAGGTTTTCATGAATGGGAGACACAGTTCAAACAAGATAACTTCTAGAATTTCTTTTTTTTTTATTTTTTTTAAAGATTTTATTTATTTATTCATAGAGATGCAGAGAGAGAGAGAGGGGGGCAGAGAGAGAAGCAGGCTCCATGCAGAGAGCCTGACGTGGGATTCGATCCAGGGTCTCCAGGACCACGCCCTGGGCTGCAGGCTGCACAAAACCGCTGCACCACCAGGGCTGCCCTAGAATTTCTTTTGAAGTTCCAACTATGCCGAAGCATAAAAAAATTATCTTGCTTTTCCAGTTAAAATACTTCAAACATACTCCTTAGTAAGAATGCCAAATAAGGATTTTCCCCTCCCACTAGCACTCTTCTAAAAATAAAATAATAAACTATATAATTATTTGAAATTTCAAAACATTTTCAACAGCACACTGGTTTAGAGTGTTAAACAACTGGTCATTATTAACAGCAAAAAGGTTCTACAAATAGTACAAGGTTCTTGGGATATAAGATGTATAGTAACAATGTACTATAACTCAGCAAACTAAGTTATTAAAATTGATTAGATGCCAAAATAAAGATCCAGAAATAGGGGATCCCTGGGTGGCTCAGCTGTTTAGCACTTGCCTTCAGCCCAAGGTGTGATCCTAGAGTCC